CTTCCAGCGGGAAGAAATCAGCGCTCATCCAGGCCGTGTTGCCGACTGACAAACCGTACGAGATGACGAACAGCAGCACAAAGACGAGGACCGCGATGGTCGGGGGCGACATGTGCGCGTAGTCCGGTACTTCAAGCGTCTGCAGGTTCACCGGGATGAAGTGGAATGACACTGCGACCGCGATCAAACTCGCGCACATGCCCCAAGCGGTGCAGAGCAGCAACCTGCGTCGACCCATCCGGTCAACAAGGACCATGTTAACACCTGTCATGACCAAGTTCGGACCGGCGACAACCAATCCGACAGCGGCTGGGTCGCTGAAGCCGACCATGTCAAACAGAGTGGACGAGTAGTACATCAGAGTGTTGAACCCGGAGATCTGCGAAATAACCATAAGGCCACAGGCGCTGAATAGGGCCCGCAAATTAGCCGGGTCCCCATGCAGCTGCTTAATCTTGCTCCAACGACTCTCGTTCTCGTTGTTCCGGCGAGCTTCGTCGCAGGCGTCCGCAATTGATGCGTGCACCAGGTCGATTTGTTCTTCTGTCGCCTTGCCGTAGATTTTGTGCAAAACCTTGCGCGCTTCTTCGTGATTCCCGCGATAGACCAAATGACGAGGCGATTCCGGAAGCAACGGCAGGACGACAAGCAACAGAATTGAGGGCACGCCACCCAGCCCGACCATGTATCGCCAACCAGCCGGCACGGACGCAAATGCTGCACCCAGGGCATAGGCGATGACTTGGCCCAGCGTGATGGAGATGTTGTTCAGACCGATAAGCTGACCTCTGGCTTTGGCCGGTGCCAATTCAGCCACGTACAGAGGAACCACCATAGCAGCAGACCCGACTCCGAGTCCAACGACGAAACGGCCGACAGTCATCTGCGCGATGGAATAGGAAGCGGCTTGAAGGACAGCGCCAACGGTGAACAGAGCGGATCCGATATAGATGGCAAGTTTCCGGCCGGACTGAAAGGTCAGCATCGTACTCACTGTAATGCCACAGGAACAAACATACCTTGTCTGCTGCAAGACCGGCACAAATAGCACCAAAGAATGCTCCGGCAGAGCATAACGAAGTAATCATCTCTTTCTCACTCTCGTTCAATGTCTTGCCGTCCAAGTCCGTCCCGATATAGACCAACACAGCCGAAATCACACCCGTATCATAGCCAAACAACAGGCCAGCAATCGAAGCCGTGATGGCCACGACCCAGACAAACCAGCCAACGGGAATGTCATTGAGCTCGTCGAGATCGGGGGTGCCTTTCTTGGTATCACCGGCCTCAATGGATTCGATATGGTCGGCAGAGGCGTTTTTGTCTTTGATGTCGTCCATTTTCTTTGAATTCTCCTTGCTGTTCTGGTATATACTGCTCTACACCTTATCCTATGCCTCTCTACTGTATATTTATACATAGATGTCAAAAGCCGAATCTTATCTGATTGGCTGTAAACGCGGGGAAATAAATGCGGGGATTATCTGGGGTATAATTGTCGCATGGTTCAATCAACCGACGCTGATTGAATAGCTTCATTCTCTCGTATTCTGTATCCCGAATAAGCAATTCTCGCCGTCATGCCGCGGCCCTTGCCTTGCACGCACTGCAGATACGTCCATCTTCCCCTTTCTTTTGGGTTCTACACTGACGATACTACAGCGCGGCATCTCAAATGCCACGGCCCTCCGGAAAAATGTCAGCGCTGCCAGTCCCTATCTCTGGATTGTAATCGGCCTCGTCCCGTATATTTCCGGTCATCGTCGAATCTCCGGTTCTCACCAGACCAAGTTTGGTTGCCGCCGGTATCTGGTTCTCTCGGGAGGAGAGGATCTGCTGCCCGATGGCGTTGGGTCGATGAAACTCACGACGTCATGGCCAATATCTGGATCAATCAGGACGAGCATAATGACAACGACATCATTGATAGTCCTGCGGATAATGACGGGTCGCCGATTGCCCCGGAAATTGACCCTCAACACCCGTGTCCTTCTTTCTCACGCGAACAAAGAAATCCGACTCATGCAGAGCCCGATCCCAGTCCACGTGTTGACCACGGCCGTCTGACGGCCATCCTGTTGCGGTACTTCACCGAGGAGGTGGCGGCCCGGTTTGATCTATGTGATCCGGAGCGCCATTTTACCCAACTGGTGCCTCATCGCGCGCGAGCCTGTGCGCCGCTCCGTCATGCCATTCTCACCACGGCTGCCCGCCATTTGATTCGGCTGCAGCGTCATCGCAATACGGCCGGTGTGGTGGAATGGCAGGGCCATGCATTGCCCGACCTCACAGAGGCCGTCGCCTTGGCGTATCATACGGCCTGCATTACGGACTTGTTGGCTCTTAGCATGGATCCGGACCAGATTCATAATGATAACCTGTTGGCGGCCGCGATCATCTTACGGACCGATGAGGAAATGGACGCTCCGTTGCGGGAGAACCCGGAGGATCAAGAGGTGTTTTTGCGCATGCTGAATGTGTTTATCTCGGCTCAGGTGCCTCATGATGCTGCGCTTCCTCATAGTTGTAGTCCCAGTAGTAGTTGTTCGTCAGACCCTCCCAATGGCCTGCGACAAGCGGCATTTTGGGTGGCTCTGCGACAGGAGGTTTTTACATCCTTTATGAAGCAACGCTCCCTCTCGTTTCCCCTGTCTTATTGCGATGCGTTTCGGATACTATCTCCCGCAACGGACGCCGTCTGGGCTGACCGGCTAATTATCTTCTGTGCCGATGTGCTCGAGTACTGCTACGGCAGTCAGGATGTTGCACCTGCATCCCAGTCGGCATCGCCCCATCGGTGGCACGAACTAGTCGCTTACCAGGACCAACTGCATGCTTGTCTCCCGGCCTCGTTTGATCCTCTCTACGTCCATCCTCCGGATCCGGATCGCGGACAGGTCTTCCCGGAGATCTGGCATCTGGATCCTTGTCATGTCACCGGTACGACTCACAGCGAGCTGTCTCGATTGCTGCTGCTCGTTTTTGATCCAACGCGACCGCAACTTGGGCCAGGATCTGCTGCTCAGCACCGCGCGACCATAGACAGTGTGCGAGCTATTGTCCTGCGACTGTGTGGAATGGCGCTGAGCAACAGACAGTCTGCGCCGACATTCATCGAGGCTTTGATGGGAATCACGACTTGTGGAGAGTATTTCGAGCTGCCAAAAGAGCAGGGGGCACTTTTGGGAGTGTTGGAGGTAATGCGGTTGGAGCATGCATTTCCGACTCAGCGTGTGGAGGACCGATTAATGGTTGCATGGCGATGACTACTGTACTCTACTAGTTACTATTTTGCATGTTTAAGATAGCATCTCAGCGCTGTACGGAGTAAATGTTCAAGTTTAGCATAATATGGTTCCAACGGGCGAAATCACCCCCGAATCTCACCCCTATTTGGGATAATCCGTGTTTCTGTATGCACCCCTCACTCAGAGTCTGATTGTCCGTCCTTTAGTCCTTTTGTTACTCTCGGCGCCGCCGAGTCTTGCCTTTCCCGTCAATATGGTAATGCCCGCCGAACATTGCCTTTACTATGCGGGGATCTATATCTTTATTTATGCGGAGTAACCATAAGCTGGAGGACAAGATGAAGCTATAAGAACAGCTCTGCTCAATTGTTCTCGTCAATTCTCATTCTCAATCCTATCGATTCTATCAATTCGAACAACTGCACAAGAATCAATTACCATGTCCAAGCTTCAAGTCGCAATCGCAGGGCTCGGCCGTATGGGCGCCCGTCACGCCCTGCATTTCAACAATCTCACCCCTCGCGCCCAGGTCGTTGCGGTCTCGTCTCCCAAACAGGAGGAGCTCGATTGGGCCAAGGCGAACCTTGAGGGAGCCCGGACGTACCTCGACTACGATGAGATGCTGCGATCTGAGCCATCGCTGCAGGCAGTCGTTGTCGCTTCGGCCACCAGTGTGCATGCTGAGCAGGCGATCAAAGCTATTAACAAGGGCTTGCACGTTCTTTGCGAGAAGCCATTGAGTACCAGAGTTGAGGAGGTATGTCCCTATACTTTGATATCATCCAGTTGAAGAAAGGAGGCTGATTGAAACAGAGCCAAGCAGTAGTCGACGCTTACCGCACCTCCCAAAAAACCAATCCCTCGCAGAAGGTCGTCTGCGGTTTCAGTCGCCGCTTCGATTCCTCCTACCGCGATGCATTCGATAAGATGAAGTCCGGTCTTATCGGTCGCCCGAGTGTCTTCCGTTCGCAGACCTGCGACAAGCTCGATCCCAGCGGTTTCTTTGTCGAATACGCGCAGTTCTCGGGTGGAATCTTCGTCGACTGCTCGATTCACGATATTGATCTGGCGTTGTGGTTCTTTGGTGAGGACTCGGTTATCAAGTCTGTTACTGCGGTTGGTATCACGGCTGTGTCGCCGGAGCTGCGCAAGTACAATGACCGGGATAACGCGCTGGGAATCGTCGAGTTCTATGACGGACGCATTGCTCAGTTGTTCTGCAGTCGGATGATGGCTGCTGGTCAAGAAGACTGTTCGTCTCTCCCCATGCTTGGTTGTATACAAATGCTAACCGAAGAACAGCCACCGAAGTCACCGGCACAGCTGGTAAACTCGCCATTAACACCCAGCCCGCCTCGAACCTCGTCAATATCTACGAGCCCAGCGGTATCCGTCGCGAGATTCCCCCTCACTACTACGGCCGCTTCCGCGAGGCATTCATCACCGAAGCCAACGAGTTCACCGCGAGCTGCTTGGACGACACGCCGCCGCCGATGCGCTTGGAGGGAGCCGTGGCTGCTGTGCGGATTGGATGTGCGTTGCAAGAGAGCTTGATTACGGGCAAGAAGATTGAGTTTGACGAGAAGGGGGAGCGTATTGTTCCGGCGAAGCTTTAGAGTAGAAAAGTTGGTATACAGCACATAGAGTTATGATTATGCTATGAATTATACTTGTTTATGAATTTTATGCGACTCTCATCCACCATCACACTAGTTATGTTTTATGAATGGTTATGCACATTTATCCACCTTTCCTCTGTGACGACCTAGAGCATCTCAACAGGCCGCATAAGCCGCTCGTCCTGGATTATTTCATTCGCCGTAGCTCTAACCTCGGAAACATGTCTTTTTCCTCTCCTGGAGGAATGGGGATTACGAAATCTTCAAAGGAGGTTTGCGGGATTGGAGAGTTGGATACCCTGTTTCCTTGGCCATCGAAATACATCGAAAGCGGGCTTTGCTTGATCATCTCTAGTGGCGGGAGACCGAGATAGCCGATGTACTGGGCCATGGCCAGTAGAAGAACATATTGGTTGTTGGTTTGATCTATAGGACCGAAAAGGTTCTTGTCTTCCAACAGCTCGAGTGTCTGATAACTATTAGCAACGTTAAATTGTAGGAAGGAACAGCAGTTTACCATGACTCCAATCGACCAGATATCAACCGGAAAGCCCCAAGGGAGGTTTAGGAGCACTTCTGACGCACGATATAGACCAGGCATCCACCAATCCCGGTTGCCGGGCTCCAAGGGTCGCATTTGCCCAAAGTCTGTGAGAATGGGGATCCCTGAAAGCTCCAACATATGGTACCCCGAGATTGATAGACAGGGGCTCCATGGCTTGGGACTGGTATGCTGGGATCTTGCGATTCTCACTTCTCGACATCTTTCAGGCTGATGTCATCTTCAATCACCACCAACGCATTTTGGGGTGAGATATCGGTATGTATGACTCCACATGTCGCGTGAAGCCAATTCACGGAGAATCGTAACCGGTGTATAAAAGACCTGACGAGTAGCTTTGGCAGTATGGCATTGGGAAAAGATTCCTGCAAAGTGCGAAGGCTTGGTCCCTGAGGCTTCATGACCACACAGTAATGGGGGTCTGAAATACCATTGATCTCGAAGATGTCTTGCTCACGTCGCATGAAATCCAACCCCGGGTGGTCAGCCTCCTGGGCAAAACTCGCCCAGCCGTTGCAGCATAGCGACTTCATTGAGAACAGGGGACCCCTCGGTATCGTCCGCCATACAGATCTTCAAGGATGCATATTGCTTTGATCTGACATCCCACCCAAGCCAAACGGTAGAGTATGCCCAGTAGCCGAGCTTCGCAATGACGCGGTAGCGATTCTTGAATATGGTGCCGATTCTCATCGGATAGTAATGCTTTTGGTGATAGAATGGAAGCGTTTGTTCTTCGATTCTTGGACCAGTGTCATGTCGCGGCGATGCCTGAGAGAATCTGCGTATGGAGGAGTGTAGAGACGGGGCTAGGAAACGCATCTCAACCGTTGATGCAAGTGAGGAACGCATAACGGACTTGTGCATCTTATCCACGTGCATAATCCCAGTCTATGCACAGATCCGTTGATTATGCACAGATCTATGGATTATGCACTCATGAATAATTATGCACATTGTGCCGATCAGATAAGATTATCACCATCTCTCCGTCTCCTCAACTCCACTGCTCCTCATGGTCGTTATCTGTCGCCATGTGGATGCTGTGGCTCTTTCTTGTACCTACAGTCCTCTGTGAATATATTCCCCTCGATCAGCGCTGCGTCACTGCTGTCTTCACGGCCTACAATTATCTCACCTTCACCGGTCCCGCCGGTTTCTGGGACTCGCGATGTCAGAATCCATTCAAAGTCACCTCCATCTACGCCGCATCCGGTATATATTGTGACCCCGACGAACAAACCGCCGGATTCGCCCTGTTTGCAGCATACTGCCGCCAGTTCGGCCGAACCGACCTCCTCCCCCGCGATGCGCTGGCTGAGAATTTGACGGATGATGCGATTGCGCAGATGAATGTGGTGGAATATGGCGTGATTCCGAAGCATGAGTCCCTCTATGCGCCGGTGATGGTTTCACATGAATACTTTAAACGGACGTATCACACCATTGAGGACATGCAATTCGTAAGTGGGAGGCATCGGGCGTATGGACTGGCGTGCTATATATATTGGGCGGGTGTCCTGGTGATTGGCATTATATATCGGGTGTTTCAGCACTTCTGGGAGAATAGACGACTGCCAGGACAGCCATGGACGTTCTTTCGTGCTGCTTATCATGTCTTCCAAACTCATCTGGTCGTTCCGATTCCCCGACGGTTTCTCTGGTTTACGCCTACACCCATCGACGGTATCGTCCTCGGTCTGTTCTGGATACTGAACATTGTTCTATCGTCCGTCAGTTATCCGACGTTTGAGGGGAATCTCTAGTAAGTTTCTAATGCCCTATATATGACAGCTGTTGATATATATAGTTGGCCCCCGATATATAAACAATACCTGCGATATGTAGCCGACCGCACCGGAATCCTGTCGTTTGCCAACTTGCCACTACTCTGGATATTTGCAGGACGAAATAACATCTTCCTTTGGGCTACCGGGTGGAGCTTCACGACGTTCAATATATTCCATCGCCATGTTGCCGTCGTCGCCACGGTGCAGGCCGTCGTCCATACCCTGCTATACGGCGTCATGTTCATAGACGGTATGCCTCGTAGACATATTACCCTGTACAGCAGAAATACTGACAACGTAGGCGGCGCATTTTGGAAAAAGATGAAGCGACCGTATCTACTCTGGGGCACTCTGGTAAGTACCGTCCTCATCTGTCGTCCAAAGCTGACCAGCAGACTATGACAGTGATGCTGCTCCTCTTGCCCATGTCGCTGGCATGGGTCCGTCATCGAGCATACGAACTATTTCTCATTATTCATATTGCCTTTTCGATTATTGCCTTGGTTGGCTGCTTCTAGTGCGTCTCTTCCGTCCTTTCCGTCTACAAGCGCTGACAACTCACTCCGTAGTCACACTATTATTTTCGAGGATCTGGAATATTGGCAATGGTTATGGCCAGCTGTGGCCATTTGGTCTGCTGATCGCTTCCTTCGTCTGGTACGTTTGGTATATTGCAACCTGCATGTTAAAATGAATCTCGAGGATCGCGTCCAAAGCACGTGCAGCTGGGCCATATACGACGAAACGAGCAATGTGGTGAGGCTACAATTGAAGCCAGGGTCCTTTCTGAGACCGGCTGCAGGCCAGTACTATTTCCTCTACCAGCCATCTCGTCTTACTGGCTGGGAGAGCCACCCATTCACCCTGGGCGCTTGGTCGTATGGGTCGGTGTCTGGGCCAGAATCGACGACAAGCAAGGTAACATCCGTCGACGTGGCCCAGGTTCCTCTCTTGTCAGATTCCTCCTCTGGTTCGGAACGTGACGAGACAGCATCTGGCCCTGCAGCGACTTCACACTACCTGCAACTAACATTCTGGATCCGGCCCTACGATGGCTGGACGCGCCAACTGCGCGAGGAATGTCTTCGTTCTGCCGATCGCAGGACGAATGCAACGATTCTACTGGAGGGCCCTTACGGGCATACGTTCCCAATCTGGAATTATGAATCCATTTTGTTCGTGGTCGGTGGTACGGGCATCGCCGCAGCCGTACCGTACATCCAGGAGCATTTCCGTCGTTCCGAATCTACCAATACTCGAACACAGGGGATACACCTGGTCTGGACAAGCCGACAGACGTCATTCATCGCAGACATCGCCACTCGCGAACTGCGACCGGCCTTGGCACGCGATGATATACGACTGTCGTTTTACGTAACAAATGCAAGCAACGTTGACCTTCCCGGACACGATCTCTTCGGTCTGGGGATAGAGTTGAACGCCGGGCGGCCGAATTTAGCATTACTGGTTACTCAACATGTCCACGAGGCGCGATTGAGCGACTGCTCGGCAGCGGTGGTAGTATGCGGACCGCGGGGGATGGCGGATGAGACACGGACCGGTGTGCATGCAAGGCTGCAGCAAGGGTATCAAGTCGAATACGCGGAGGAGTCCTTCAGTTGGTAATTGATGAGTTTGCATTCTTTTTTTGTTCTTCTCATGTATGTAATTTCTGTCCCTTGGTGCATGCTCCTACTCCGTGCATACGCCGTGCATGTACACGGAGGCGCTATACACCGTAGACAAAGAACGGCTTCCGAAACTCCGAACTGAGCAGGATTCGAAAGATTACCACGCTACTACCATGGAATCAGCGCTATTGAATCGAGAAAAAAGCAATCTCTGTCATGCCGGTCGATGTCACCCAAGTCATCAACCACCTGCCATGTACTTTTCTTTCCTCAGCAATTCGGCGATGCAACCTTCCCGGACGGGCAAAAATCAATGTTCCTGCATGTTCGTGCCCAAATGATTTTTTCCTTGTGCCTTGGAATGCAGGGATAACAGACATGCTGCTGAACACTGATTGGTTTCCCTTGCAGTGTGATATTGGTTCGTTGGAATGCATCAGTTGTACGCACCTCCCTACAGCTGAACGCATTCCTCTCTACAGCTGAACGAGGGATGTGACTGCGACTCAGTGCCCTTCATTCCGGAAGGGCAGGGCATTCTGCTGTTCGAGGTGAGTCCTTCAGCCTTCAAAGACTGCCTTTGGACTGCGGTCTAGGGTCGAGCGAAAAGGTATAAAGACCCTCGAACGTCCGGCCTCAATCTGTTCTTCATCACTCATCAATCCATCACTCTCGAAGCATCTCTCTTCACTCTTCCAATTCAATCTATTCTATCAATTCCAGTCTTTCAGACTTCCAATCCAAACCATCAAAATGAAGTTCTTCGCTATTGCCGCTACCTTCGCCGCCACCGCCATGGCCCTTCCCAGCGCCAACGGTGCCCACAAGGACCCCAAGCAGTTGTCCCTCGAGCAGGCCCAGAACACCTGCGGTAAAGCTCAGGTTTCCTGCTGCAACAAGCAGATCTCCTCTGGCGACAGCTTCGAGAAGAACGAGGGTATCCTCAACGGTGTCCTCAGCGGTCTCCTCGGTGACAAGGGCAGCCAGGGTCTTGGTCTCTTCGACCAGTGCAGCAAGCTCGATGTCTCTGGTAAGTTTATCTTCTTGCAGCGCTTGTGGACTTTGAGCTAACGACCTCTCAGTACTCATTGGTCTCAGCGACCTCCTTGGCAACTCCGATTGCAACCAGAACATTGCCTGCTGCGATGCTACCAACGCTGAGGCTGTATGTGTCTTCCCCTTCTATCTCTATCTCTTTGTTCCCTCGCTAACACCCAACAGGAGGGTGGTCTCGTCAACGTTGCCCTGCCTTGCGTCCAGCTCCAGGACCTCATCTAGATGGTTGCTCTATTCCTCGACATGGCTTCCATTCGAGCATTCGCGTCGACTCTCGACTAAATTGCATAATTTCTTTCTTTCGCTTTACTCACTCCCTTTGCATTAGTTGACTGTGCTGCACATTAGTACATCTAGTTGACAATTTAATTTCGCATTTCTCCACAATTTTGTCCTTCGTAGTCTTCTCTTTCCATTGTAGCAAGCTTTCTCCATTGGCGTCAATTAACGAAAACCAACAGAAACCTTCGACTAACTCGATATTTCAACGCAGTAATCCCAAAGCACAACGTGCTTGTCTTCTTCTCGCCCCCTCATTGTATCTGGTCTTTCCCTTAACATGACCTTTCTCAACTCTAGCTAGCTTTGCTCAATGTATATATTTCACCCTATTTGAACAAGTCCCGTTAGAGCATGCATAGTCTTAGACTGGAAAATGCTCTATAAAACGGAAGACATCATCATGAACAAGTCCCTTCGTCACTATGTGTGGTATTTGGAATAATGCAATTCGAAGAGGACCAACAGTTGCGTGCACGTCATCCATAGACTGGACCTCATTGTTATTCTGTTACATCACGTCGGTTGTATTTACCTTACGGCTCTGGTGTTTACCACATCTACAGAAGTGTAGTAGTGTCCATTTAGACATGTTCAGTCAAGTAGACTCGACTCATTGCCTAATAATTATTTACGTTGACAAAAGAGAGATGTAGTCCGTCGATGCGAATATATATATATATCCGAGGCGGCAACACTCCAACCATCCATTCCACTAAACGTATAGAATAACTAGTACAACAGGCAAATAATTAAGCAACCCGATTCCAGAGCCGAGTTATTCGGAATCTCGAAATCGTGCCATATATGGTCCCATCTCCTGGTTAGTCTCGGAACCCACTTCGGGTGTCCTTCCGGAATCCAGTAGTATAAGATAAGGCTGCTCCCGCTCACTTCTGTACTACGTACTACAATGACAGCTGCCAGGCCTAATGCATTCAGTCGTGGAATATGATATTGAACCCGCAACAGTCCTGAGAGTGACGAGGGATAATTCCGCTGCTCTCGCTGCAGCGATTCACTCTTCAGGATCATCGTGAATGACGTCGAGGCAGGTACGTCAACTGTCGTCCACACTGCCCGTTGTCACACTCTACATCCTCAGAAATCTCTACTGTTTCTCTCCGGATGAATGCTTACTCTCTTGTAGCTGGCCAGAATAGGCAATTTATGCGACCCCGGACTTTCTTTGGGCGTGGAGAAAGGCATACGTCATTTGCCGAGGGAAACACCGGGTTTCCCGATTCGGAATTCCTTCTACTAGGGGCACACCGGACGCCATATTCTACTCCGTACTGGATGCCAATTGACTCGCTATTGATTTTCCTATCGGTCAGCAGCTTAAATTCCCGCGCAGTGCCGCTGACTAACGGCTTAAATGAACATCCCGGGGGAACTCTGTATATCCATCCTTTTACCCCGGTCTGACCTCTCACCTGCCCTCCGGGGGATATGATCTGGCCAATGCCCAGGTGCCATGCCCAGACTCCAAGTCCGCTCTATATCTGCTGTCATCCCAAGTCACGCGGAACGTTTCCGCTGACAAAACCAGTTCTCGCCAATCGTCGGCTGCTCCGCCAATAATGCGTCCGATTACCAGCATCTTAGCCGAACTCGCCAGAACTCCTCTTCACTCCCCATGGGGAGTCGCCCCTGGAGGAAATGCGATTTAAGATGGCAGTCACGGGTCGTACAATGGATCGAAAGGAAACACGCCAGAATCCAGCATGTCAAACGATACAGGGCCGATTTCGACACCGACAGTTGAGGATCTCAAAGCATCAGATCCAGAGTCCTCGCTACACCTCGAAGATGTGACCAAGAACAGTCCCGCTGAGCGACCAGCGCCCCCCGACGCGCCTTGCAACTGGCCCCTATGGAAGAAGAACACGCAGATTGCCATGGTGGCTTTCCATTCCATGATATCGACCTTTATGGCAGCGGGTATCGTTCCGGCGTACGACATCATGGCCGAGATGTACGGCGTCAACATGACCGAAGTCAGCTACCTCACTTCGATACAGATTCTGCTCCTGGGAATCTGTCCCTTCTTCTGGAAACCGCTGAGCTCCATCTACGGCCGCTATCCCATCATGTTACTGTCCGTGTTTGGTAGCATGGTCTGCAATATCGGTGGTGTGTTCTGCACCACGTACGGAACCCAGATGGCTACTCGTGTGCTCACTGCCATTCTCATCTCCCCTCCCATCGGTATTGGCAGCGGTGTCGTTACGGAATTGTGTGAGCCAGAAGAGCGCGCACAGAAGCTCGGCTGGTGGACGCTCATGACCACCGTCGGCACTCCAGCCGGTCCGTTCATTATGGGATTTGTGGTTGAGCACATCGGCCTGCAGTGGGTGTTTTGGATCTTCACCATTCTCAACTTCGCCCAGTTTGTCGCCTATATCGTCTTTGGCGACGAAACCATCTACGTCGCTGCAGAGGAAGGAGGAAACACCCCGACCAAGGACAATAGCAACTTCCTGACGCGACTGATACCCCGACGAATCAACCCTCGTCCGCTCAAGCCGATCGAGTTCATCGAGCCTCTCTTCATGGCGCGTCACCCCCGCGTGCTGATTGCCGCCTGCGCCCACGCCGTCACCTTTTGCTATGGAAACATCGCCATCGTCGTCGAGATGCCCACGGCCTTTGGCCAAAAATTCGACTTTGGTCCCCAGCAGATTGGCCTGCAGTACATCGCCGTCATCATCGGTTGTGTCCTGGGCGAGCAGCTGAGTGGTCCGATGTCCGACTGGTGGCTCAAGTTCCTCCTTCGCAGACGCGGCCACATCTGTCCGGCCGACCGTCTGTGGATTTCATATATTGGCTACGGCACCGTGATCGCCGGGCTGCTGACCTGGGGCTTCCAACTGCAAAAAGCATCTGGAACATGGAATGTGACCCCTTGCGTGGGAGCGGCTATTGCCAGTTTCGGTAACCAGATGCTCACCACCATCCTGACTTCTTTCGCCGTCGATAGCTACAAGGAGATGTCCACGACTGTCGGTGTTTTTGTCAACATCTGCCGACAGATTTTTGGATTCGTATGTTCCCTGCCTCCGGTTTCTGTACTAGCAACGCTAACTCATGACAGATCGGTCCATTCTATTTTATCCCCTTGTTCGACGCATTGGGCCTCGATGGTGCCGCTGGTGTATTTGTTGCGATTATTGGTGCTTGCTCGCTGATTCCAATCATCTGTATACAATTCGTTTCTCTCCGGAAGGATAATAAAGCTGTGTATTAGCTTAGATTTAGAATTTAGACCTAGAATTATGTACCATTTATCACCCTGGCTAAAATGTTTAAGCCCCTACATATTATAGAATAGCAGTCATGTTGGCCGGACTAGCAACACCACCAGGAACATGCAATGGTACGGATACGATAAAAAACGACCACCTCTTTTGCTTCGCGCATTCACGAGCCAAATCCTCCAACCAAAGCAACTCCTCAATCGAACATCCCCATCCAGCCAGCAGCACTTTATGGTAAAAGACAGCAACCTGCTTATCCCAGAGAAACCACAGTATTCGAATATCCTGGTTTATTCCGCACGCCACAGGGGGATACCGATGTGCCATTCCTCGCTGATCTTTGTCAGACGACTCCAGGTATCTCTTAGTGTATCCCGACCGAATTAAGAGTATATCCCCCTTTTGCAGCTCAATCGAGTGTCCTGATAATCTTTCCTGCTCCGCAAGACACTCCATCAGCCCTTCGTATGTAACCCCAACCCCCCTGCGCGGGATCATAACTCTTTCCATTCCGCTCTACATATCCCCAGCAATCAATCAAAATACCGCGTCCAGAAATTGTCCCTTGTTCGTGCCACGCGTGGAGACCGAGTGTTGTCGACCCGGGTATCGTGAGATCGTCGATTGTGTGTCCTTCGTAGAGCTGACCTGTCTTCTGGTAGGCGATGTGCCGCAGGCCATCGATTTGGTTCCTGTTTGTGTGTTGAAGTGGATCTATCCGTAATATAGTGGTCAGTTTACAGAGTTAGGCGCACCTCATCGTCCAGCGTGACCAGGTTCGGATCGCCGTGATGTACTCGGTGTGTAAATTTACAACCATGTCTTCCAAAGCCGGGTGTCCTGGGCATGTCGAGACTCCAACTACGGCCTGTTAGTTAATTCCCGAAAGCACCTGTCAACCTACTTCAAGCTCAATCGAAGCCCTAGCCGGATTTCCCCAGCCCCTCGTTTCACAGCATCTGTGTCGATGAGATTCTTCCCAGTCAGACAGGCTCATGTCTATCCACGATGTTACTTGCCAACGTCCCAACTTGATCCTCCTCTCCCCAAGGCCCCAAGCCGAGAATGGGGGATCATCCGGCCGCAGAGGAAGTTGGTCGAAATGACGGCCGTGTCTGCATTTCTGCAAGTACTTTGTCGATGCTCGGATCTCGGCTTTGCTGATCAGAGATGTTTTATATTGTCAGTTCTTCATTATTATTATGTTGCTCATGTGCCCCATTCACTTGTCTGTACTTTCGGATGTGGATCACGGAAATTCCGTTGCAATTCCGTCCTCAATTCCGGACGATCTCTGCAACACCCAGTAGCCTAGGCAATCCCTCTATTTTCGAGAATTAGGATGATCCAATGGCTAGTCGGCTCCTTTTCCGGAAGCGATGTCGTGATTTTTGATACAAAAATGACTTGATACCGTCAACATAGCACTCTCCGATGGCGCAGGAAACACCTAAAATGGTCAAATCTCAGGATGTAGAGCTATCTGCCTCTATTTCTGCCCAAGACGACAGCGTCGAAGTCACCTTTGAGCCAGATGGTTCTGATAACCCGAAGAATTGGCCGGTTTGGTATCGGACGTTCATCGTGGCGACGGCTTCTTTCTCGACGACCTGCGTGTTAGTCCTCCAACTTATTCCTGCAGGACATAGCTAATACGCACAGAGTCCTTTACTCGACATCATATACCTCTGGAGTCCCCGGAATCCAAGGATCCTTCGACATCTCCGACCGTACAATCGCCCTCCTCGGCCTGACAACATACCTCCTCGGCTTAGCACTAGGATGTTTAGTCCTGGCACCACTGTCAGAAATGTACGGTCGTCGACCAATCTATGTCATCACTGGTGCTTTCTATGCTGTATTAATTCTGCCCGTCGCGCTGGCGCCCAATTATGCCGCTGTGGTGGCTAGTCGGATATTCAGCGGGTTCTTTGGTAGCGCGACTGTCGCGAGTGCCCCGGGTACGGTGAACGATCTGATTAGTTCCAAGCATCGTGCGCTGGCGTTTAGTTTGTGGAGTTTGGGTGCTATGAACGGGCCGGTATTAGGTATGTTGATAGGTCCCCGTGAAACTTCTCTAGTACTGACAAATGTAGGTCCTATCATCGGCGGATTTGTCTACCAATACCTGGGATGGCGCTGGATCAATTGGATCGTCCTCATTTGCGCAGGGGTTTCCTTTGTAGCATTTGCTTTGTGTAAAGAAACCTACGCACCGGCAATTCTTCGAGCAAAACGAGCAAAGAAGCAAAAGGAAACAGGCGACAAACGTTACTGGTGTCGATACGACAATCGAACCGATGGATGGCAGCTCATTCGCACAAACTTGACCCGACCGCTATCCATGGCCGTTTTCGAACCGATATGCCTCTTTTGGAATCTATACGTCGGCGTCATCTATGCGGTCTTATTCCTCTGCTTCGTCGGGTATCCAATTGTCTTCCAAGAACAGCGTGGCTGGTCTCCTGGTCTGGCAGGATTGGGATATCTAGGAATCGGTACTGGCGTCGTTTTAGCCGTCATATCAGAGCCCTTGGTCCGCAAAATGATACAAATGCACCGTCCGGATCCAGTCACAGGCCAGATACCGCCAGAAGCAGCAGTGAGCCCTATCTGCATCGGAAGCATCCTGATTCCGATCGGTGAATTTTGGTTCTCCTGGACAGCCCAGCCGTCAGTCCACTGGGTCTGTCCAATTCTCGCGGGAGTGCCATTCGGTCTGGGTAACGGCCTCGTCTTCATTTACGCCACGACCTATCTCGCAAGTAGCTATACAATATACGCCGCGTCAGCTCTAGCAGGGAACTCGGTAGTACGGTATGTTTTCGGAGGGGTGTTGCCGCTGGCTGGCTCACAGATGTATCATCGGATGGGGGTTAACTGGGCAGGGACGATGTTGGCGTTGATTGAGGTGATCCTTATTCCGATCCCGTTTGTGTTTTATCGGTATGGGTGGAAGATTCGGCAGAGGAGTCCGCTTATATCGAAGATGTGATAGAGTGAGTCTAGATGTAATGTAACTATCATTGAATATAATCTGTCAGTATACTACCAGTCTTGATGACCATGCACCGGTGCTTTATTCCATTCACTGCCCCGAAGCTCTCTCCTTGTCCTTAAGTTGTTATTAGTTAATTTACTAACATCCCTGATTATCTCTCTCGCTGTTTAACGCCGTCCCTATCGACTTCTGGTTCAACTTCGGAGACTAAGAGTACAGGAAAAGAAGAGACCCAGATATTTGCTTCTCCCAAATAGCTGTGTACACTTTCGATGAGCGTCAAACTCATGTTAATCAACGAAGCCTGGTATGCGGAATCTTGCACCTCGTTAGCCTCAGTCTTGAGCGGGAAGCGTGAATGGTGATCCAGGAGCCAATCATTGTTAAAATAAACTGACAAGACATGTTATGGACTCAACAAGACCGAAAGGGCGAATATATACAGAGATTTCTGCAGGCAATGGCATCTTCCGACAAGACAAAAACCGAGGAAGAATGTGGCGTAGACATTCTCGATATCCTAACAAGGTGTCAGCGCACATTAGGTTGATCGTTTTAATATGAAACATACTGTAGACTCCAGGGCCAGTTTGAGCCAGAGGCCGAAAGACAGATAAGCAGTGGTAAAGTGAGACAGTCGATCGACGTAAAGAACTAGACAGCTATAATATGTGTGCAAAAATAGTCGCTTGAATCATCAGACCAAACCTGGCATCGCCGTGGAAACGTTTCTGCGAGCGATAGAGGCCAATATTGAGGATAAGGCTGATAGAAGCCAGACTGGCTGATTTTCTCCCAGGCACGAACCACTAGATGTAGGTCATTTTGGGGGCCTGGGTGCCTTTGACAGAATTCTTCTGCACAAGATGAACTCTAACAAACAATCAGCTCGCTATGCTAGTGACTAGGCCATAGTGGTTTGCAGCTTTCGAAGCACGGAAAACTTGTTTCGAGCAGACCAGCCGTTGAATAAATCATGTATACTCCCATGAAGCTATCGAGCTATCTAAAGAGGAAAGAAGAAAAGACAAAGGAAAGAAAGGGCAACCACGGAGCAGAACAACAGCAGCACGGAGCGGCTCAGAAGAACCTCCAGCTCGACTCACTGAGCTCCATGCTGGTATGCACAGGAACGTGCTGATAGAAAATGTGACTGGTTTCTCTCTTTCTTTTGCATCTATGTCATTACTTAATCTGGGTTTAGCGCAATCTCGAACGTCAGATCTCTTGGAAAGCGGAAACACGATGATCCGGGCGAGGTACATACTTCCCGATTGGGACATCGTCCTGCCTCTTTCCCGTTGCCAGCATTGGGTTGTTTTCCTTACTTTAAAATCTCTTCTCTTTCTACTCTCTTTTTCTCTTCCTCTATCTCTTCACATCTCCCATCCTTCACTTCTCGTTTCGTCTCTCTTCTCTGTCTCTTCTCTGTCTCTGTTCTATCCCTTCTCCGTATCTCTTATTTCTATATCTGTTATCTCTCTTTCTCTTATCTGTGTCTCCTGTCTGACCACCATGTCTACATTGGCTTTTGTAGACGTGCCTGTGACTCTTCGTGCTTGCACACGCTATCCGTGCCACGTGCCTTTAATCCTACACCTACCGAGATCTCCTCGAGCTCCCACTAGCCCGCTCTCGTCCGTATCCAACCGCCTGGATATGGAGCCTGTACAGTCTCCATCGAGCGAGACCTTCCTGGTGAGTGAGCACCCAACTGACCTGAAGTCAGAACACACACTTACGTATGATCCAGAGCCCTCGACGATCCAGAGACACGTGCAATATCTTCGACCTTCATCTAATCCTTTCCCTCGGGCTTCGAGCTCGAGCGTTTCCTCGACGCATCCAAGACCATCCCATCATGCGAGCGTGACACTCACATACTCGCCATCGAACGGGACTTCGACTGCTGGAAGGTGGGCTATGACTATTTGGTCTTGAACAGGTCCCAGGCTAACGTGTGACCCAGATCCTTGAACAGTCCCCACATCAGTCGCAGATGGTCTGCAGGCTGTCCATCTATGTTTCTCCCTTGGACTTCGGATTCGAATGTTGCGCCGGGAGAAGATGCAATCGAGATCATGAGCGAAGAGCTCCACCGAATACCCTTGTCCACATCCGGGTAGACGGTGAGCCTGGACATCATTTCGTCTCAAAACTTACGCTAACGTATGGCCCAGATCCCTCGAACCCATTCCACGGATCCCAGCAAAAAACACGACGCATCTGCATGCTGTTCGTGTAGCCTTCGGTTCAGGATCGATCGTTGCAACTGGAGCCAACGCAGCGGCAAACGGAACGAATATTCAGTTCATGCTCGGACCAGACACGCTGACGAAAGGTGAGCCTAAGACCCGGTTCAGCTCAAGACAGGACACCCACTAACGTATGGCCCAGATCTTCTAATCCAGTCCATAGCGCCCAGAGAAAAGAAACAACGACGTGATGTGCAGGCTCTAAAGTACACGACTACCACTGATGCGGGCATAGGTATCCCGTCCTCCGACGTTGAATTCCCAAAAATGGTCCGATGGATGGACTTCCTGCACTGTGTTGGAGATTACTTTGGCGGGATCCACGCGGTGCTGTGACAGGCTGCCAAGGCGCTTGAGATTCAACATCTCCAGGCAGCTGTTACTCAGCTTGATGCGCAGCTCAACAAGGAGGATGGCAAACCTGGACTGACCATCCGGGCCACAGATGAGTGCATCAACTGCCTCGGGGATTAACCTGGCTTTCAAAATGGACAATGCCACCAATGCCACTCCGATCTTGGAGGCCTAGGCGTCTGACACTTACCTGCTGTACTTCTTCTCTCTCCCTCCCATGCCAGAACACTCTCTGTGACTGGAAACAGCAACATGCGCAAGCGCTTTCTCTTTGACTCCGTGCTCGTGAGTTCATTTCCAGAATGTAGGGGTAGCCATGCTAATCTTAGCGTCTCAGATAACTTGGGGCAGATTAATCGAACTGTCGGCCCATCTATACACTTTACGGAACCGGCAATGTCACTCTTTGCCCAAGCGTCGCAGACAACCTAGGGCAGCTAAGCGGGTTAGTTGACCGGGACTTAGGGAAGCACCCTTCCCTTTTTGCGGCTGACCGATTACAGGACCTTGGGACGTTGCAATGGACTATGCATTTCCGATGCTTGGAAAAGAGGCCAGTGGAATGCCATACCCTCTGCAACGGAAGGGGGTAACCCGACAATGTTTGCCGAAAGCTTGAGAGTGACTCCAAGCTCCTCCAAAACAGAGAGGCAAAAGGCCGTGCATACCCTAGAGGAGTTCAGGAACAACCCCCCTTCTCCCACTGCTTGCGTCAGTTAGACCTTGTTTTATGAAGGGCAGCAGGCCGAAGTTCAGGAACGAGTCGAGGATCCAGAAAAGAGGAAGGCAGAGCCGCCTACGGCCCAGTGAGTAAACGTCCTTCTATTCCTTATCCATTTCTTTGGTTTTGTCATCTGTCTTCAGACTCCCTTGTGTTGCTGACCGATGCTCCACAACCCTCCATTCTCGTTCGAGTCAGCATATTCTCATCCCTTTCGTTGGATGTTTTTGAGCTCCTTAACTGGTTGCACTTTTGTGCAGACATCTTGAGAGCAGGCGTCCCTGATAGACCTTGTCTCCGATGCTGTTGATAAACCTGCCGGTCCCGCCAGAAATCCTCCTTCACGCCACCCGACCCAGCGCGTGAGCCCAAGTGATATCAAGGATTTCGTTATTTTTTCCCAGTCTCTGGGAGACTACACTTCCTGAATATTCAACTGCATCAAGCACGAAGCGGAAGCTCGCGGGAGGAAATTCCCGGACAGTACGTTGTCAGCCTTTGCCAGGGGTCTGATACAGACGAGAACCTTGTCCAGATGGTTAATGTGAGCATCGGTTGCCTCTGGAGAAAGGGCCGACAGAGTTTGTATCACTGCAAAGAATATTGTGAGTTCCCCGACAAAGAGTCTACATATGAGTACTGACAAAGCCCAACAAGGCCGTTACTAGTCCACGCCGAGCAGAAAAATGAGAGCGATGACGAAACAGGCTGAGATTAGCTGCAACTGTATTGGATATACTCCGGGGTGCGTCTTCCCTCCGTGAGAAGAGAAAATTAAGCAACGACAGAATTCGAAGTCGAAATGGTCATACTGTCGGTCGACCTGTATACGCAACGATGCAACCGATGTCCCTCTGATCTTGGGACGGAAACGCAGGAAGCAAGCAACAAGGTAGGTCGAGCGCTTATGACCGATATTAGAAGCCTGCAGGAGCAGGGGGTTGATGGGGCGTTGCGGTTCCTCCAAGAGGAAAGTATAAAGGCAAGGGAAAAGGTAAGTGAGGAGAGAGCCGCGGGAAACAGGTCGAGGTACAGGATCGAAAAGAGAGGTAAGCAGCACGACAGACTGTGAGTGACCATCCTCGGATCCTCTCGTTTATATGGATTTCCTCTAACAAAGGCACAGGTCCAGCCGTGGATGGAGAGGTGGCAGGCTGGCAGCCGTGCGGGAGAGGTAAGTATCAGGTAAGTATTGCCCCCTCCAGCGACGAGCTCGCACCTCAACGTGGTGCTGGGGTCCAGTAGCTCTCATAATAAAAATACGAGCGAAGCGAAGACGAGCTCCATTGCCCATTCCCATTCTGTCGTCCCAGGGGAAGAGTTTGAATCAACCTGGTTGCCACTTTCGATGATACGCATAATGACCTCCACTGCATCTCGCTTCTCTTCTCGTTTGAGTCATTCCACAACATCCGTATTTCTGCATACCCCTGACTCTGGATTGTGCATGTCCTCGCCCCTCTCCTTTAGTGTTCAAGCTCCCTAATCGGTCTCCAGACAATCCAACTTTTTGCGCAACAAAACACGTACTTCGGCTCCTTTGCTATTAGAGTCTTCTCGCCGTAATGTTATATTGCCAGGTAATCAACAGGAGACGTAAACTAAGGACCATGGGTCGACTGTCAAGGTAACGGACCGTCGATGCCCTACTGATCAAGCAGAGAGGTAGTCGACACCGGATTGGCGGACATGGCGAGCTGCGTCTAACGCGGCATCAATTACCCACCTGGGAATAGCGCCATCTTATTGCCGCTAGATCTGCGACAAGCGGAAAAGGAATGATCCGGTTGTCCTTCAGACCTTCACTCAAGGGATTCTAATCGTATACTAGAAGTTCAGAACGCCTTAATCATGAACTGTGGCCAATATCTGCTATCCGTGGTGGGACAATGCCTCACAGATTCCCGTACAGCCAATCACCCGCTCAAACGGCTGAAGATAATGGGGTTGAAAAGGTATGCCGCACCCGGACGTCTAGAATCACATCGCTTATCTGACGTATTACAAGATAGAACTTGGTCTAGAAATGTGAAACATGCACCGTATGACCGTTGAGTGTGATCTTCACTTGACGCAAAATCCCCGAGTTTCTCTCAGTCCGATATATCCGAGGAATGTGCGGAGTATGGCAGACGGAGCCCTCAGAGCGTCCACCAAAGATGATTCAACTTCGTACAATCGATGACTTCGTTCGACTCAGAGCCAAGTATCAACTCTATAGGCGAGAGTACGAGATACGGAATTCGCCGTGTGGAATCTCGCATCTAGAAATGTCCGGCACTCCGACCCACAATAGGACCATGGAGTTACTCCTGGGTTGCACTGAGTTACGCATACCCGACACACTGAGTGACTGGATCAGGAACACGAGTCGGAGGTTGAGAAACGAACAGTTTGCAAAGTAATGCGTACATCCGTTCGAAGTCGGTATTCCAATCGTCATGCGAATCATTGGAGAAATCCTGTTTCGGTTTCTGTATTTTCTCTGTTCTCAAGATGACAATAACGGGGGTATACGGGACGGGACATTTAGCCCAGATTCTCCGTGCATGATTAATGATATCATTCTACGACTGGGTCCGTCCTTAGTAGGTGTAGGCCTAAAAGCTTCGCTCAGCAAGGGCCACGTTGGGAGTTCTTTTCCAACAAACCAGCGTCACCGGGGAAGTAATCCACATTCTAGGCGCGTATCTGTTATTTAATTGGACTATCTCTCGCGTCTTTCCGCCCCAGCCAGGAGTCATAACCAATGGTATGCCACGCGGCCAACCGTTGAATCGTTTGGCAAACCGCATGGATGATTTCGAGCCCATCCACGGAACTGGTGCATTGACATACAGGGGTGGATAAGCCGAGTATGCTCGTGAATTGGGTTTTTCGATGTCGATATCATGCTAAGTGAAAGGCACTTGTATCCCTTGATTGTCGTTCCTCTGGAGTACTTCTACCAGCAAATTTCTTTGAATTCTTTTCAACCTCGTCCTCGGCACCACATTGCTGAGGCTTTATCCCACGATGAAAGAGTGTCACACCGCAGAGTTTACCCTTCTCCAAACAGCATTGACGGAGCAAGAACTGGAACTGACGCCGGATGGAAAATACGTCCGTTGGGCCAACACGAATCCACGACATCCACGAAATTGGCATCCGCTACGGAAGGCTTACGATATAGGCGTCATCATTCTTCTGGAGTTCTATACGTGAGTGGGCTCGGCTATGTTCCCCAATGGACGCGTTTTATTGGAGGAGCTGACCTTTTTCCAATAGTACCGCTGTCAGCACGTCAGGAGTAAGTCAATCCACAGCCCTAAATCGTCCTTCCCGAAGGAAGTTTCTCATGCTTGACAGGCAACGGCCGCGAAAGATGCTCGTCACCAATTTGGCATCAGTCTTACTTTGTCGATATTCCTATACGTCTCTAGGTGAGTGTGCTGGTCGATCCGTGCGGCATACCAAACTCTAACGAATGCACCAGTTTTTCGTTAGTGCAGGGCGTCGGAAATATTCTATTTCCACCTTATTCCGAAACATTTGGGCGGAAGGGGCTATACGTGATAAGCACGGCCATATTCAGCATATTCTGTGTCATAATTGCCGCCGTTCCATCACCAGCAGCTTCCGTCGTTGGCCGTGCCGTAACCGGCTTCGTCTCCGCGATTCCCAATGTGGTCATCACTGGTAGCATCGAGGATATGTTCAATTCACGGGATCGCATCTGGCTAATATTTGTGTATTTCGCCATCGCTGATTTTGGGGTTGCTACGGGGCCCGTGATGAGCATGCACATCACTACGCGTCTTGGATGGTTTGCATTCCTTTCCCTATCCTAGGCCGTGCCAAGAAATGGCTGCATGTTTGTCTAGAGTTTGCTAACGAGTGCCTGCTAGGAGATGGGTGTTTTATATTTCCGCCATCGTTACGGGGTTCCTAGGAGGCCTTCTATTGCTGATCAAAGAATCGCGGCCATCGCTCCTGCTCGCCCGGGAGGTCGAGCATTTGCGGAAGATGACTGGGGACGAGTCGCTCCAGCCGCTGAATCCCGACCATACGCCCGACTTTCGCACCTTTGTGCGTACGGCTCTTCTTAGGCCAATTCGCCTATTTTGCGCCGAACCGATTGTGTTCATTTGCGCGATGATGCAGGGGACCTGTGTCGCCCTGATCTATCTGTTTACTGAAGCTCTACCTCCGATTTACCAGTCAATGGGCTTCGCGCCAGCGCCGTCCAGTCTTCCATTTTTTGCCATTGCTCTTGGGTTCCTGGGCAACATTGTTACTCGCCTTTGGGATATTCGCATTGCCAATCACCATCGGGAGAAGGGTCATCCATCGTTGCCCGAGAACAAACTGATGGGTCTCTTTGTGGCCGCGCCGGCGTTGGCAACAGGCCTCTGGTGGTTTGCTTGGGTTATTCCTCCAGCAATTCAGAATATACACTGGTTTGTGAGCTGCTTGCCGCTATTCTTGGTTGGCTTCGCTCTCAATGAGTTCAGCATTGTGTTGGCAGGATACATGGCCGACAGCTACCTGGGTTACGCGGCCAGCGGGTTTGCGGCGCTTGCCCTCGCACGCTCAGTCCTGTCAGCTATGTTTCCTCTCTTTGCGGATAAAATGTTCGATGCACTAGGTTCCAATGTTGCAGTGTCCGTTTTGGCATCTGTGGCAACTGTGTTTTGTGCCACGCCATTCCTTTTTACTTATTATGGACGGCGACTGCGGGAGAGGAGCCAGTTCGCCAAATACAGTTTGCAGGTTTACACGGAAAACACAGTGGACCAGGAGGGATATTAGACGGGTCTAGTGGGGGGATAATATGTCCATTACCATGGTTTTCTTGGATGATTCATACTGCTTGTTTGTGGCGATGATACCATATATATTCGAATTTGTCAAGGTTTGGTTTCTATCAAATTGAGGTTTTGCATGCATGTTTGTTTGTCTTTGCAATGAGACCAGAAATGAAATGTTCGACCCCAGAGGTCTTTATCCACGACACTTTCGTTTCCCTGGTCTGATCTATATAGCTGCATGTCCGTGGGTCTCAAACGGCAATGCAAAACAGAGAATTCCGACCCCTATCCATAGGGCTGCACTCACATATATTGGAGCAGTCGTGAATCCCGTATAAGCCGAAATTAAACTGGCCGCCAAACCCCCAAAGCGCAGCAATGCAGCTGCCGTGCCAGTGCCGGTCCCTCGATGCGGACCCGGAAAGGACTCGGGGGTGAAGGCGTACATAACGGCATATTCTGGCATCGTTCAGTTAGACCTTGTCTCCCCACATGAAATTGTATGCTGACTTACCGAAGTTTGCCAATATCCCCGTGATACAGGCAAAAGCTAAACTTGTCGCGGATGTATCGACAGCCACATATGCGAAGAGGAATGCACCCGTCACGATAGCAGACAGGCCCATCATCCAGCGACGGCCGAAAAAGGTGTTTGCCAGACAGGCTGCGGAAAGAGGACCCACGATGCCAACAGCGGACTCGATGCAGTAGTTGCGATACGTGAGGTCCAGTGATGAGTCCTGGGTGAATCTGGTCGCGAGGTACGAAGGCAGGAAGTTGAAGTAGAGCGGATATGCGATTCCTGGTATGTATTAACTCCTTTATTCCGGGGAGCACAGGGAGATACCGTACCAATAGTGAGCCAGATGAGCCAGATCAGAGCCGTATGTAGACTGAGTCTCTTGGTCGAAAACAGTGCCCTGTAATGCGCGCCATTCAGATCCTGCAGCGATTCTCGAACGATGTCTCTATTGGAGAGACCAACGGCTCTCGTATGGGTCGTGCTAATCCCCAGCTGCGCGTCGATATCCTGGAGCATCTCAACCGTCAGTGGTTCGGACTTTTTGTTCTGACGTGCCACATGGTTGACTGCTTCAACGGCATCGCCGTCTCTTCCCTTTGATAGGAGATATCTCGGGGTTTCGGGTATCTTGAACAGGAAGATGCGGATGACGGTAAAAGCCAGCGATAATGCACCGATGGTGATTTGCGTGTATCGCCTGCCCTGGTCAGATGGTATCAATGGATGGTTACTCTGGAGGCGGGTCATACCATCCCATATTCTCGATGCGAGAGCATGTGTCTGGAGTAGAATCTGTTGGGCAGCTGTAATTTGCCAGGAACACCCAGGCGATTAGGGAAACAATCAGCTGTCCGAGGTTCCACCATGCGGATAAGGCTGTCAGAAGCCATTGATGACTGCTTCCCGTCAGCGCGCATCTTCCGGGATGAACAGTACTCCTCACCTGCCCGGCACGAATTCCAAAAATAGCATCGAGTCCACGGGCACGTTCCCCCCAGCCGCTGTTCCGATAACAGCCCAAAGAGCACTAAATGCAATGAAATTCAACGCGCCTCCTGCAGCGCACAGGAAGATTCCTGCTATCAACAGCGTACAGTTGAACGCCGGTCGTCGACCGATCAAGTCACTGGAGATGCCCCAGAATGAGGCCCCAACAATAAGTCCAGCATGGTACGCCACGGAGCTAAAGCTGACTTGGGTGATTCCGGGGAGTTCAAGCTTGATTGGGGGTTGAACGCTGCTGAGACCCTGTGATGCTAACTGTATTTCATGGGTATCAGCACGTCGCAGAGTTAATCCATAAGGTGACTCACGTTGTCGACAATCCACCCGAAACCGGTAACCACGAAGAGTTGCCATTGGAATCTGCCAGGAGCTCATCAGAGGATCCACGCGCTGAGTTGGGGATGGAATGACTTACCGTCCCATCCCAATTTCCTCAAGACATTTGCCCACCAGTTCAGATTTAATTCTGTACGACTCAGTAGTAGACGAGCCATAGAATTGCTCAACCTGGGGGTCGTCGATGGACGTAAGCTTTCCTTCCTCCACAGATGGAGAAGGCGCAGCAGTGGCGGACTGGATGTCGTTCTTTTCCTTATCCTGCATGGTTGGTGCACCGTTACCACTGCTTTGGTAGAACCAAATACGTCCAACATATGCTGAAACAACGATTTTTTATGGACTCTACAATTATGCTGTTAAGGCCTACTAAGTCCTTCACAGGATAAGGTGATCCAAGAGTGGGATGATACTGTCTGATATACTGAAGCTGATCATGGTGATGATAGCAATTTGGTCGGTGCTATACTGCCCACCTTTGGTAGACACAGCAGAACAGAAGATATAGGACCTAATCTCTGCAAAATATAGATTCATTGGTCGTTTCTACTGTATATCATTTTAGATCTTTCAGCAAGTCTCGTTCAGCCATCCCTACGCGATACCTGCACAACTAAACATGGAACCACCCGCTTATACGGCCACAACTGCCGGGCTCGCCATAGTTTCCAGCTTGACCTTCATATCCTGCTTGTACTTCTCCGCTCGACCGTAGCTCTCTTTGTACGCCGCCGTGACAGCCTGCTCAACGGTAATGGGACCGTATTTGGACACTTCCTGCGGTTCACGACAGTTGGGCAGACACTCGCACATGTAGTCAGGGTTTCCGCTGAAAAAGAAGGGGATCGAGTACCGCTCGCGGCCGGACTTGTTGATCACTCGGTGGGTGTTCGATTTGTACTTGTCGTTGGCCATGCGCATGAATAGATTACCCAGGTTGACGACGTATGCGCCGGGGATGGGTTGCACCTGTACTTTGTAGTCAGCGCTGGTATAAAATACAACCTGGATATTGACTCCACTGACATCCAACCATTCACCCGTGGGTACATCGAGCACCTGCAAGCCATCCACCTCGTTCTGTAATAGCAGAGTCACGCATCCGAAGTCAGTATGCGCGCCAATCCCCCGGTTTAGCTTCTCGTCCACATCTTTAGGTTGCGCTGGGTAGTGCAGAAATCGCATTGTCGCCACTGCGCCATCCGTAAGTGGATCGAAATGCGTCGCCTCGACTCCCAGAGTCAGTGCTAAAACGCCTAGCACGTCTTTGGTCAAGTCGAATACGGCGCGGTAGTATTCCATAGAGGTGCGCTGGAACTCCTCAGGATCTTCGATTGTTTGCGGCCATTGATTCGGACCGCTGTTCAACTTGCCTTGGATAAAGTACGGATGGTCTTCCGGTATCTCCTCGCCGATGTACAGTCCTTCCTTGAGCTCAGGACTGGTGCCGGCCTCCAACATCTGAGAACGCAGCAGTTCGTAGCCTCTGTTGAACGTGTTGTTGTCTGCTAAAGTTAGTACAGCTTATTCGCGATGATCTCGAGGATGTCGTACCTTTGTCAATCTCCAGCTTTCGCTCGAGGGGCAGTTCGAAAAATCGCTGCATGCATCGCATAACTGCCTTCTGCAACTCGATCGGCACCCGATGGCCGATGATCTGGAAAAACCCATTGTACAGACAGCATTCTTTGATGCTCTCAACGAGCTTGGCTTTGGCGGCACTGTCCTCGCCATAGAATGCTATCATAGTCAGCCTTGCTCATCACTCGATACGACTAACTTACGCGAAAAGTCCAGAACTGGTGGGCTAGCTCTAGCAGACATTTTGGTTACCGTCGTTGATGATAATGGCGATTGTGATCGCACGGGTAGATTATGGCGTGGATTGATACGACCTGGTATTCTTTCAGCATGAAATATTATATCCTGCTTGACCAGCTACCTCGGGCTCGCACGTTTGATACTATCTTGACTGTTTCGCACAGAATACCTATGCTAACCTCTGCCCTCGATATCATCCTCGGTTCTTTTCTAGACCCCGTCCAAGACCAAAAGTGGGGTTCACATTACTTGCTCGAAGATGGGGTACGATACGATATCAAGAATGTCTGTCGATAAGCCGCCTGGAGTCGGAACAGGGGTTTGAAGAGTACCCTATACAGATATCCAGAGCTATGGCGGTTCATAATAATGGACTATCCCAATCCTCCGCTGATGTGCGGAAATAACGCGACAGCTTCGATATGCAGAATTCCAAGGTTCTTGTCCCAGAGCACGTTTCAAAGCCGGAGAGCGATGATGGTGAAAGGACCGTCTATATTGATCATGATGCAGAGAGGTCGTATGGTCAGTCGTGGTTCTGATTCATTCAACTGACCCAGAGAATATGCTCACGATCCACCAGTCCGAAAGGTAGATTGGTTCTTACTGCCTCTTCTATGCACGGTAAGCGGATCCTTCAAGGTTTGCTGCTTACATTTGTGCTAAATAATGTTATCAGATGTACTTTTTCGATTGCATGGACCGTGTATGCTCATCGTCTCGGAATGTTCTTGGGGAAGCATGCTGATGCAGTCAGAGCAACCTGGCCAACGCCAAAACCGATGGCCTGGAAGAGGACCTCAAGTTTCCCGGAAATGGCTACTCGCTCATGATAATCCTCTTCTACATCCCGTTTGGGTTGTGTGATTTGCCGTGGAATCTCTTGATCAAACGTTTCTCCGGAAGGATTATGCTCTCATTCAGTATGGCGCTTCAGCGATAAAGAGAGAAATGCTGACCACAGCCAGTGACCGTTGTCTGGGGAATTCTGTCGCTCTGTCAATGCGCTGCTACCAACTTTGGTAGTCTACTTGCAATTCGCATTATTCTCGGGTAAGCCGTTTCTCTCCCATAACGGGCCCTGTATGTTAACTGGTCCCAACGCATAGAGTATTCGAAGCCGGATTCTTCGCTGGCGCTACGTTCTATTTCACGCTCTTCTACACGCGAGGTGAAATGGGGCTACGTCTTTCAATTCTGCAAACCTTTGCTGTTCTAGCGTCAGCGTTCAGTGGACTCATTTCCTACGGTGTTTTCCGAATCGACCACCCCTCCGTGCAGGGATGGCAGTGGCTGTTCATTATTGAGGGATCCATGACATTCTTGACAGGGATTATCGGGTTCTTCTGGCTTCCGGCGGGCCCCCAGAATGCCTGGTTTCTGAACCAGAGGGAGAGAGCAGCAGCAAATGCACGATTACTACGTGATAATTCGGTCGACGTTGAGACCGCACTGAATCTGAAAGAGTGTTTTCGGACATGGAGAAATTGGAAGTTCCCGGTTTGGTGTATTATAACGCTCACGTATCCAGTGGCATACGCAACAGCGATGAACTTCTTCCCGTTGGTAAGTCATATCATCGCCAACCGGGCGAGTCGACTAACACTTGCTGGTAGATCGTTGGACGGCTGGGCTTTTCGGTCGTCAAAACCAATCTCTGGACGGTTGCTCCAAACTTGGTCGGCGCAGTAGTCTTACTTTGCGTAGCGACATCCTCGGATTATTTTCGCGAAAGGGCGTTTCACATCGTCTTCTCCCTGGCATTGTCGCTGATCGGGATGTTAATTCTCGCGGCCTTAAATGTAACCCAGCACAAAGGCGTTGCATATTTTGCGTGCTTTCTCATGGCGGCTGGATCGTACATCCCGTCCTGTCTCGTCCACGCATGGCATAATAACAACAACATCCACGAGAACTCGCGCGCATCAAACACTGGACTGTTCGTCGGGCTGGGAAATTTGGCTGGCGTCTTGAGCGCTGCCACCTTTCGCACGGAATACGCTCCAAAGTGAGTATCATCGCCCATCTTCAAACAGTGATGCGTTTCCTAACATGGAAATGCCAGGTACATCCCAACTCTAGTAGCTACCTGCTGCTGCAACGTAGTGTGTATTGCTGGCGTATTGTGGATGGGTTTATGGATGAGGTCCGAGAATAAAAGGCGAGATCGAGAGCAAGGCGTCCGGCTTCGAGGGCATGAGGTTGAAACGAGCCAATTGACACTTGGCGAAGACAGTCCAGAATGGCGATATTTCCTGTAGCTCGGAAAGAGTATTGCGCAGTAACAAATCATGATGGTGCATGACCTATCGGGGCTCATAATCTCATTCCGTCCTGTCTACCAATGTATGCAAATCGTACCTTGTACACCTGATAAGATCCTTGTAAATGCGGAGTTGGAGACGGTCTTATCAGTCTGGTCGCTAATCAATCATTGATATTTTGAAGGCGTAATCCTTCAAAATCGGGAATGGCCGATTGTTCTCTGGGTATTCCGTCCGCGAAAACGACCGTGTCTGTTGCTCTGAACTTATCCCCATGGTCGTGAAATCGCACATCTGTGACTGGCCTAATTGCGGCAAGGCCTTTACTCGCGCTGAGCATTTGCGGAGGCATTCTTTGAACCATGAAGAACCACGGAGCGGATACACCTGTGAGCGATGCTCTGTTCACTTCAACAGGCCTGATTTGCTCAGTCAGTGCTTCCCAAACGCAATCACTGCAAGCGCTGACACACAAACAGCAAGACACATGATGAGACATGCAAAGCGAGACGAAGAAGCCGGTGGTCCTGGTCTGGGGATATTAGAAACCCGAAAAAGAACTCGACGCGCCCCGAACGGAACGATCGTGACCAAGCCGGCTAAACGACAAGCTAGGAAGGCGATATCAAATAGACATACACGTTCTGTATCGCACACGTCTTTCGAAATTGCAAGTGAAGGGAATGCTGGGCTTATCGAATCCCACGACTATCCCCATGGGGCACCTGTTTCTCCTCCATCATCTGCCCATCTCGAGGGTCATGACCAACACAGTGATATTGGGATCAGTGACGAGGATGCACTACTGGCCCCTATGATGCCCGGTGGTCCTTACGAGCCATACGTTGAACCAATTCCGGGGCAATTCGACGCAGCGGATGGATCGTGGGGTACTTCTCCTTTTGGCGACATGTTTACCGCAGACACGGGTATGTACATCAGTGTGGTTTGGAAGACGATGGCAACACTGACTGGGCGCTTTCCTAGCAATGGATTTCAACATGCCTTTTGCAGTCACTCACAACTACAACTGGCTCTTCGATGTCTCCTGTCTGGATGACGCCTTTGTCGATCTGGATTGGCCATTGGAACCAATCTCTCCCAACCAAGACTCAATCGCATCCTTTCCGGGGGAAGAGAGAGACGCAACCCGGGAAATGGATTCTGGGGAGCTTGTGGAGCTTTGTAGTCCTGATCTGGACTTCAATCTGGACCCTTCGTCGATACTCCTCGAAGCAGCAACGTTGATCGATAAAGGCCTGTATCCAGACGCTAGCACATCGTCCAGCACTTCACACCAGCAAGCCGATCAGACGGCCTCGGAGTACCCGGAGATGGAATGGATGACTGGGCATCCGCAGTTGGATACACCGTCTCGACCTCGCTTGCCTCAAGTGACAGATGAAGCGCGAAGCAGTGTCCTGGCTTTGATTTCAAACGCCAAGGACGTGAGCGGCGCCTCGCCCTTGTTATCACTGGAAGCTCTCCAGGGATATTGTGACCTCTTCTTCTCACGATTCAACGTAGCGCACCCGTTAATCCATCAAGGAACATTCAATCCTAATCAAGCAGAACCGGTATTTCTAGCTGCTGTTCTTTGTCTGGGAGCAACATATAGCAGTCGGGAGGCACACCAGATTGCGGTTGGAATCCATGACTCTTTGCGAAACCAGCTTTTCTGTCACCCAGATTTCTCTCCCCAGCCCGACCTGTGGGTTCTGCAGGCAATGCTCCTGATTGACTGCTTTGGCAAGATGCGCGCAGGTCCAAAACAACGAGATCGAGCTCAGCTGTTTCACTGTGTACTCATCAAGATGATCCGTCGCAGCAACTGCTGTGTCATCCAAACACCCACGATCCGCAGTCGACCCAAGGACCTAGAACACGCCTGGGCAGAAGCAATGGACTTGGAGCAGCGGAAGCGGCTGGCGATGCACTGTTTCATGTGGGATACTCAACACGCGGTGCTCTTCTCGCAGTCCCTATGTATGTCCGCTTTCGAGATGCGGTTCCCCTTGCCCTGCGAGGCCAGTACCTGGGAAGCTTCAACGCCGGAGCAGTGGCTCCAGTGCGCAATAAAAGAGCCCGACCACCCTTTTCTATCGGCGCTCAAAGGATATATTGCTCCCCACGCCGTGCACCGTCCCCGGCATCTCAACCCCCTTGCGCATATCTTCCTCCTGCACGGACTGATGTCGCTTTCCTCAGACCTGAGACGACGAGATCAAACGACGATTCGATCGGAGACTCCCGAGCTGGCTGGTGCGTGGAAGCACCGGATAGGGCGATCATATGACTTGTGGAAGATCGACTTTGACGCAGACTGCATGGCAATGAAACTGGGTCAGGCGGAGAACCCTCGCCGGTTCACTGGTATCAAGATGGCGGCCCACATGCTGTATCGGTCAGCCCATATCACATTGAATGTAGAAATCCTCGACCTACAAATCTGCGCCGGAACACCGCACATTCTTGGACGCGCGGTGACACAAAACGACATCGAGCGATCCCGACGCATCATCCCCCAGTGGCTCCAGGACGAATCTGGGATGGCACTGAAAGCCGCAAAACACGCGTCTTTTATCCTGCAGGACGCTGTGATGAGTCTGGATGACTGGGACGATGCGGACGCATTCCATTTCCCCTGGTGTCTGTATCTCGCGACGCTGACCTGCTGGGCGTTCCATCTGCCAAAAGAAGGTCATAACGCACCAACCCAATGCCCTCAAAGCAATGAACAGGCCAAAACGGAGATGTCGTTGCTGATAGTCGCCATGACGACGTGCTCAAGTCTGGACGAGTTGGCGTCACTGGCCGGGAAGTATTCCACAAAAGGGTTGATGAAAGTAATGGCACAGAAGCTGGCAACGGTACGCTGGACTGTAGTTCACGATGCGATGAAGGTGTTGTTTCGTCTGGTCGGTTTGTGATTGAGCAGGAATGTAGGAGGAAAGAACCCATGGACGATATATATATATCGAGACTAGATACTCTACGTACACTGCTCTACGCCATTTGCTTCCTAGTTAGCTTCAATTGACTGGACATTTCCATTAAAGAATAAATACCTAACCCTATATGAATCTATCTATCCTTATCCGTATATTTTTCTTTTCTTTCCTTTCCCTACTCCACTCTATCTACTCCCTGCAAGCAACCCACTTTCACGAATCTAATCAGATCTGGCAAGTAGCCCAATTATCACTGTCCATAGAAGACGTGCTAACCACAAGATACAGCAGTAGAGCGGCTCCGTCGAACCGTGAGCAGCCAGAAATGCGATATTGTCTTCGTGATGAACTGCCATCTGCTGTGATTCACGGGGTGTCATATTCCCCAGAAAACCGTCTTATGCGCCAACTATTACAAGGGGTATGACAAGGATGGCTGTTAGTTATCATCGCGCTGCAAGACAACGTTGGGGTTCATGGTGTACCTACAGACGGGGGACGGTACGTCGAGGTAGAACGCGATCATGGAATCCGAATTTCTTGCTAACCCTTTCTCTTTGATCAGAACGAAGGAGTCGTAAGACTACTTCGTCGACCAAGCAAAGATTGACATCGCAAATCGGTTGATTGTATCGGATCCCCCCACTCTTGGACACCCACCTCCAAAGGATGACGCCAATTTCTGCCAATAGAGATAATGGTGATAGCACATGATGATAAATTGCCCAGGGATTATACTGCTAGACTCGATATGCGCGGGGATTTATGGAAGAAAAGGGCTCTTGCAGACTGAATTTCTTTGCAGCTGTCGAAGAACACTTCTCAAAGTTGACAGAGAACAATGTATGCTTAATACTCACTAACTATACGTTGCACCAATCTCAGATATGGTCTTTATTCCTCGCCAGACGTTCACACCTCCTGGCGAAGCTTTGCAGGAGCTCGTTAACCTGACTTACACGTCGTCGACTATTTCATTCTACCTCAACGGAACGAAGATCGCCTTAACCAACCCAAACCCTCAATGGACGCTGCTGGACTTCATTCGGTCCCAGGACTGTCTAAAAGGAACAAAGTTGGGATGTGGCGAAGGGGGTTGTGGTGCCTGCACCGTGGTGCTACAAACCAGAGACACTCGGCATAATTCTCGCAAGATCAGACATCTGGCAATCAACGCATGTCTTTATCCCTTGGTTGGTGGTTAGTATCACTCCATTTGACGTTCACTGAAGCAACGCAACATTAATGCGTGGAACAGTAATCGGGAAGCATGTCATCACGATCGAAGGATTGGGAACGGTTGAGAATCCGCATCCATTGCAGGAGCGAATGGGAAAGCTTCATGGCTCTCAGTAAGTATGCCGGCTTTCTCATCGGGATTTATACTGACCATATCAGATGCGGATTCTGCACCCCTGGAATTGTCATGTCCTTATACGCCGTCATTCGAAATGCCTACGACCCAACCACCGGCTCATTTGACCTTTCGGAAGAGGAAATTGAGATGAAGGGACACCTGGATGGGAATTTGTGCCGCTGTACCGGATACAAACCCATTCTGCAGATTGCAAAGACATTCGTCCAGGCGGATCTCAAGGGCCGGCTGGCGGATTCGAAGACGGCCTTTTCAGAAAGCTCTGAGGACCACACAAGGGATGTGGAAGAATACAGCCTCCACTCCCAATCACCAAGCACAACGAGCTCATGTGGCCGTCCCGGAAAATGCTGTCGTGACGGACCGAGTACGACCTGCTCACCCCCGTCGCCACTCGCGAGCGAGGGCAGCTCTGGAACGAGTTTTTCCAGCACCGAATCTAGTCCCAAGTCGACAGTACCTCAATTCGATCTCATACCGTACTCACCAGCGTCCGAGATCATATTCCCACCTAGCCTTCATAGACATGTCCATCTCCCCATCTGTTACGGCGATGTGGAACGGGTATGGCTTCGACCTGTGACCCTGGCGCAACTGGTCGACGTATTGGCCGTCTTTCCTATGGCCAAACTGGTTTGTGGTGCCAGTGAGATGCAAGTCGACGTTCGCTTCAAGGGCTCACATTTTCCGGTATCTGTCTTTGTGGGCGACATCGAAGAACTCGCGACTATTCATGTGCCAGGAGATCCAAGTACATTGACAGAGTTCGTCGTCGGCGGAAATGCGTCTCTTAGCGATGTCGAAGAAACATGTCGCCAGTTAAGTGTCCGACTGGGAAAGCGTGGAACGACCCTTGCTGCTATGGCCAAAGTATTGCGATATTTCGCTGGACGGCAGATTCGCAATGCAGCATCCCTGGCTGGAAATATTGCTACCGCGTCTCCGATTTCTGATATGAACCCACTTTTGCTGGCCGTGAACGCCACCGTCATGACGCTGAGTCCGAAAGGGGAGGAATCCATCCCTATGATTTCCATGTTCTTAGGATATCGGAAGACTGCTCTCCGTGAAGGAGCAGTCATCACTAAGATTCGCATCCCTCTTCCACCGCCAAATGGATTGCAAATCACCAAGTCATACAAGCAGGCGAAGCGAAAAGATGATGACATTGCCATAGTGGCGGCAGCATTTTGCGTGACGTTCGACGGAGATGGAGTAGTAACTCACGCTTCGCTCGCCTATGGAGGCATGGCGCCCACAACAGTTTTGGCTTACCAGGCCGGAACTAGTCTTTCCGGGAGAAAGTGGAATGATAAGGAGACTTTATACGATGCCCTGCGGGCGCTGACGAGAGACTTTAGCCTTCCGTACGGCGTTCCTGGAGGAATGGCGACATACCGCCGCACGCTCACTTTGTCGCTTTTCTTCCGTTTCTGGAACGAGGCTGTGAGGGACCTTAACCTAGGTGCTTCAGCTATGGAGTTAGACTGCGTTGATGAAATTCACCGTGAAATATCCACGGGTGCTCGCGATGATCATAATCCCCATGAGCAGCGAGTTGTCGGGAAGCAGATACCCCATCTGTCGGGGTTGAAGCACGCTACAGGTGAAGCTGAGTATGTTGATGACATACCGCCCCCAGCACGAGAGCTCTGTGGGGCTCTGGTATTGTCTCAACGAGCGCACGCCAAAATCATCTCAGTCGACTGGACACTCGCCATTGGTCCCGGGCTCGCAGTGGGCTACATCGACCGGCACAGCATTCCAATTGACCGAAATCTGTGGGGGTCGGTGAACCGCGATGAGCCCTTTTTCGCCACGGATGAAGTGCATTCTCACGGCCAGCCGATCGGAATGGTGTACGCAGAGACTGAATTAGAAGCACAAGCAGCAGCCAGGGTGGTCCGTGTTGAATACGAAGATTTGCCAGCGATCTTGACCATCGATCAAGCCATTGAGGCAAAAAGCTTTTTTCACCATGGCAAAGAGTTGAGGAAAGGAGCACCTCCAGACGAAATGGCCGACGTATTTGCTCGATGCGATAGGGTCTTCACCGGTGTGACGCGTGTAGGGGGTCAAGAGCATTTCTATCTCGAAACGAATGCAGCAATGGTCATTCCACACGTCGAGGACGGTACAATGGAAGTCTGGTCGTCCACCCAAAATACGTGAGTTCCAGCACAACTATGATCCCTGTTAAACTTGACAAGCTGACACCTTCTTTTTTCAGAATGGAGACACAAGAGTTCGTTAGCCAAGTCACCGGCGTGCCTAGCAATCGCATCAATGCGCGAGTCAAGCGTATGGGTGGTGGCTTCGGTGGTAAAGAGTCTCGCAGTGTTCAAGTGGCATGTTTACTGGCCATCGCGGCGAAAAAGGAGCGGCGACCGATGCGAGCAATGCTTAATCGCGACGAGGACATGATGACAACCGGCCAACGCCATCCGGTTCAGTGTCGATGGAAGGTTGGAGTCAAGGATGGTCGATTGGTTGCCCTTGACGCTGACTGCTACAACAATGCTGGCTACTCGCTAGATATGAGCAGTGCCGTGATGGACCGGTGCTGTACTCACCTTGACAATTGCTACCAGATCCCGAATGTCCATATCCGGGGTTGGGTGTGTCGTACAAACACGCACAGCAATACGGCTTTTCGAGGTTTCGGAGGTCCGCAGGGCATGTTCATCGCTGAAAGCTACATGTCGGCTGTGGCGGAGGGACTGGGAATGCCCGTGGATGAACTACGACTGAGGAACCTATATCGACAAGGCGATCGGACCCCATTTTTGCAGACCATTGACGAGGACTGGCACGTTCCGCTCCTTCTGGAGCAGGTGCGACAGGAGGCGCGCTATGATGAGCGAAAACGACAGATTGCCACATTCAACGCAGAGCATCATTGGAAGAAGCGCGGAATATGTCTTGTGCCGACAAAATTCGGGTTGTCGTTCGCCACGGCACTCCATCTCAACCAAGCTGGTGCATCCGTCAAGATCTACGCAGATGGGTCGATCCTACTCAATCACGGGGGAACCGAAATGGGACAGGGATTGTACACCAAAATGGCCCAGGTTGCGGCCCAGGAGTTGGGCGTTTCCGTTGACTCCATCTATACGCAGGACACCTCATCTTATCAGACAGCCAATGCCTCGCCGACGGCGGCCTCTTCCGGCAGTGATCTTAATGGAATGGCGGTCAAACACGCTTGCGACCAACTCAACGAGCGTCTTCAACCGTATCGCGACCGATACGGACCAGATGCCTCGATGGCGACGATTGCACATGCGGCTTATCTGGATCGTGTGAACCTCGTGGCTAGCGGTTTCTGGAAGATGCCGAAGATTGGCCACGAATGGGGAGTGTACGATCCGGAGAAAGTGAATCCAATGTACTATTATTTTACGCAAGTGAGTCATCTCGTTATTCCTTTTTCTCTGACTATGATACTAATTCACTAGGGCGTCGCTTGCACTGAAGTCGAGCTGGACCTCCTCACTGGAGACCATACTGTGCTGCGGACGGATATCAAAATGGATGTCGGACGCTCTATCAATCCCGCAATCGACTACGGCCAAGTTGAAGGGGCTTTCGTCCAGGGACAGGGTCTTTTTACAATGGAAGAGAGTCTTTGGACGCGGACTGGACAATTGGCGACACGCGGGCCTGGAAACTACAAAATTCCCGGATTCAGCGACATCCCACAGGAATTCAACGTCAGCTTCCTCCAGGGTGTGTCTTGGAAACATCTGCGATCGATACAAAGCAGCAAAGGGTGTGGTGAGCCGCCTTTGTTTTTGGGCTCGACGGTATTGTTTGCTCTAAGGGAGGCATTGCGAAGTGCTCGTCAAGATAATGGGGTGGAGGAGCCTTTAGTTTTGGACAGTCCGGCTACGGTTGAAAAGCTCCGGTTGGCAGTCGGAGATGAGCTTCTGAAGATGGGCACAGTTGAAGCCAAGGAGGGGGAGACACCGTTTTTTGTCACAGTGGCGTGAAGGATCCAAATAGATACATGAATGATTTTGGTTATGGCACAATCGCGCGCTCCTTCTGATGCACATTACACAGAACACCACGACCACACTTAACTTTGGCTTATAAACTGGCTTGCGTTGACGATCCAAACAATGTAAGATGGAGTAATTCTAGTGCGCTAGATCACTAGGTCTACATCAGTACATCGTGGTAATAATCTTCGATCCATCTGGCCGCTCTTTCGCCCACCGCTGCATCATCAGCACCAGTCCACCGTCCAACTGATCCAACATATCCGTCTGGTCTCACATTCACAACGACCGCTTCACTGTTCGTGAGCGAACTGGCCCACTTGTTAATACAACCGGGAGAAGTCGTGTCATCGAGATATACCGTCCAACGGCTACGCTGCAGTGGGACTGGAAGGTCATGAATCTCAAAGGCAGACTTCTGCGTCGCGGTGACAAGGGCTAGAGTAGCAATCTGCGAGATGGCAGTATATCGCTGGGACGATAGAAACGTATCAGACTGCGCGACGCTTCGGGGCATGTCCGAGTAAGACTTGTCGACCATTGGCGATAGACGGCGCAGAAACGCGTCCAAGCCAGTACAAAGTGCGGACAGAAACGGCCTGGCTTTCATTATATCCGGAACAACCAAGTATATCCTGAACTGGCTCAAAAATGGAATGTCCAGTTGGATATCGACCGGGTTGGCGTCGATATATCGCGTCACTCGAGATGGCAACAACAAGGCGCCCGGACGGAGACTTTGACGCACGCTAATTTCGTCGTCGTCCACTTTTGTAAGAACGCCCGCTGCATATTCCGCGCCTATGCCGGAGATGAAGCGGATGTTCTCGTCGAAGTTCCGGGTTAGCGCCTCGTCGCCCTGGGAAAAGGCCTTGCAGTGTCCGACATCAAAAGCAATAAGGTCACTTGCAATCTTCTGCCGCTCTTCCTCGTACGTCGACAGCAAGGATGGTTTTGATAAGCCACGAATTACGAGATTCAATTTCCACGCCAGGTTGAACGTATCGTGCATGCTGGTGTTGGCGCCTTGGGCTGCCAGAGCTGAGTGACAGTGTCCTGCCTGTGAAAGTGAGCATGGTGAAGACATCGAAAACAGCAGCGGTAAACATACATCACCGGCGATAAATGTCTGTAGTTGGGGATCCGCAAAATGATTGGCGACTCGCTGTCCAACTACATAGTTGCCGAACCATTCTGGTACCCCAGTTAGATATGTTTCCAGAATGGCGATGGCAACCTACCGATACTGGACCATTCCAACCGATATGGATGCATGGCGGCCCTTGCGCGCTCCATAACATACTCTGCCGTCACCATTGTTTTGTCAACGGCGTCACCGTCAATCGAACTGAGCTGGACGTACAGCCGGGTCATGTTGCGCTCGCGAGGAATCCACAGAATCGAACCGGCTGTATGGGAGCGCACGGCGACTTTGCTCCAGAGATCAGGGAAGTCTGTTTCAATCACTCCTACGAATAGTTAGTGACTTTTTGTCCTTGTCCGATTCGATTCGGTCATACCATCCAAGACTCCCCAAGACTCGTTTGTCCGGGCTCCTTCAAGCCGCGCGTCTGGAATTGACTGCCGCACTTGTGACCGAGCGCCGTCGCAGCCAATGAGGTAGTCGGTTTGGATATCTTTGATGGTGCCAGACGCAAGATCTTGATAGCTCACGCACAACCGATTGCTGGACGGGACGCGACTACAGGACAAGAATCGACTGTTTCGGGTAACAGCCAGACCGCGAGCGGCCATGTCCCGGAGAAAGACGTCCTCGAGCATTCCTTGATGAGCCAGCAGGATATAGGGATCCGTAGCTCCGACAAGATGATCCGGATAATGCACTTTGCGACCGGTTCGATGGAGGGGAGCATCGTCCGTGGATTCCTATTCAAACCCCGAGTTAGGACTCATTCCACAGGCTCTGCTCTGCTGGCTTACCCAAAAGCAAATATCGTATACGCGCGCACCCTCACGCAAAAGGGAATCGGCGAGTCGCAGCTGTTTGAGAGTCTCGATAGTCTTGGGCTGAATTCCATCGGCCCTACCAGTCGATATCTTATCGGGCTGTTCATCGAGGACAATTGTTTTGATTCCGAATCTCGCGAGATTGCACCTTGCTCGATCAGTCCGTTTTACTGGTAGCACAAGTAGAATGACTTACGCCAACATTAGCCCAGATGGACCAGCACCCACAACGACAACACTGGTCGCGTTGCTAGACCCATTGTCACGGAAGCCTTCATAATTTGCACTTGGAACCATAATTGCGAATAGTTCCTATACGGTTGAGCATAGTAGAAGAAGAGATGCGTTCTATTTGAGTAACTCTGCTCTTGTTTACTGACATCGGTGCAATTGCCGACCCCCACTTTTGAACCGAATGCCTATCGACCTTGGAGATATCTTTTGGCTCTACTCCTCAGTTACTACCACCGAGTCACCCCTCCATCGACAACGATATCCTGCCCCGTCATGTACGCACTGGCATCGCTCGCCAGAAACATACACGCGCCCCGGAGATCGTCTGGTTCAGCAACTCGGCCCAGCATGATCTCTCCCTTCCAACTTTCAAGCAATTGGGGGAACTAGGAGTTATCAGAGTTGTCCTTTGCATCACGGAGGGTACTTACGCCGGCGGTCATTTCCGTTTGCACGTAGCCCGGTGAAATCGAATTGACACGGATTCCCTGTTCGTCAGTCGTTATGCAATGTAGCGGCAGGGTGAAACTCACATGAGGTGCCAATTCCTGCGCAATGGCCGGACACATGGCTTTCACGGCACCTTTGGAGCCACAGTACGCACTACAGAGTTGGCTTCGAATGGCCCGCTGACTGGCGATGCTGGCCACCAGAATGATGCTCCCATATCGCGTACCGTTTGCGATCATCTGTCGAGCTGCCAGTTGCGCCGTAAAGTATGATCCCAACACGTTGACGGACAGTAAATCGTGGTGGTCTTGGTACGAGAATTCGAGGAAGGGGCGATGACGATTGATTCCGGCACATGGGATACAGATATCGAGCGCATTGGAAAAATCGGACTTGAACCGATTGAAGCCATTTTGGAGTGATTGCTCAGAAGATATGTCAACTCTATAAACCGTCAGCAACCGAAACCAGAGACCGAGTGTAAGAAGTCCAGACTCGTAGTATGCTACCCGGACACCGTATTGCTCACTCAAGGCTCGGAATGTGTCGTCTGGCTGAATAACGTCAAAGATGGCCACGTCGGCTCCGGCTTCAGCACAGCTCTGCGTAAATGCAAGGCCACATCCGCGAGCGCCTCCGGTAACCAAAGCAGTTCGGCCTTTCAACGAAAACTAGGGATTCAGTGGGTGTAGTCGGGTCGTTGTTCTTGGGTGTCTTACTCTCGACATTGCGAACTGTATGTCCTAGATTCGTTCCAGCGGGGTGAGACACAGTTATACAGACCGAGGGGCATTAGGACTGTCCCTAACTTCATAATATCGCTCTGAAGTACGATAACAACCAACGTTATCAAGAAGTACCCCCACTCTTGGATGTACACTCTTGATCTTATCGTCATGTGCGGTCATGCATATCTGGGGTATCCCCGTTGCATTCCGTGGGGTTTTCCAAGCGCGTCGTCACGGATTAATACAATTCACATCCCTTGAAGATACGCTCTTCAGGATGTTATGTGACAAGAACATCTATTGAGAAAGAGCTTCTAGCAACATGTCATCACCAATTCCGATGAAACAAAAGCAGTCCCGAGAAGAGGAATGTCGGTTGCAGGTTCGTTCACTCCTGGTGTGGGTTGGACCGCGCTGATACAGTAATAGATCATCGTGGTCGGAGCTGGGCTTGCTGGCCTAGGAACCGCGATCAGTTGTCTGCTAGCCGGTCATGATGTCCACATCCTCGAAGCCACACATGAGATCCGCGAAGTCGGTGCCGGTATACAAGTACTGCCCAACAGTTCGCGAATCTTGCAACACTGGGGTCTGCAAGAGTCCCTAACGCCGCACATGACTTATCCACGAATGTGCAACTTTCTCGGTTGGAAAGGAAACCTGATATCGTCACTTGACTTCCACGAATCCGAGAAACAGTACCCCGGGACATGGTATCGCGATTTTCATCGGGCGGACCTCCAGCAGTGCCTCGTTGCGAGAGTTCAGGGGCTGGGAGGACAAATAATATGCAATGCCCGCATTGTGGACGTTCAAGTTCATACGGACAACTCGACGGCAACCGCGATCTGTGCAGATGGCCGAAAATGGACAGGCGATCTGGTGATCGGTGCTGACGGGGTGTTTGGAAAGCTGACACAGGTGCTCTTGGGACGGCCGGATCCTCCGACTAATACAGGTGACTTGGCGTATCGTCTGCTTCTATCAACGGAAAAAATGCTCCAAGATCCGGAGCTGGAAGTGTTCGTGACGGATCCGCAAGTCAACTACTGGTTGGGACCGGATGCTCATGCAGGTAGGCGGTTGTACCTACTAATAGCTACTGGCGTTTGCTGACAATACTAGTGAACTATGTTCTTCGTGATGGAGAACTTTTTAACATGGTTCTCTTGGTCCCGGACGACATTCCCGAAGAGTCATTGGCTTCAACGGTCGAAGGCAATGTGAAAGAGATGTGCTCTTTATTCAAAGGATGGGATTCACGGTGCGCTATGTAGAAGCTGTCCAATGGAATAAATCGCTAAGGATTCATACATAGTATTCAAAAACTTCTCCAACTCTGTGAATCTGTCCACAAATGGAGACTCTGCATTCGATACGGCGAATACGATTGGACACATCCCTCAGGAACGTGGGTGATGTTGGGCGATGCTGTCCACGCCACATTGCCTTATTTGGCCTCGGGGTAAACCCACCCACCTTGCTTATTCTGAACCCTTATCTGACGTATCACAGAGCCGGAATGGCATTCGAAGACGGGGCAGTACTGGGCGAATGCCTTTCCCGACTCCCAGACTACCGCGGTGTGTCCAAGAAATCCCCCGATTTTCTCGAACAGCAACGCCATGCCTTATCGGTTTTCGAAGAATGTCGCAAACAACGCACGCAGATGGTGGTGGCGAGGGGGAACGTACAACAGTATCTGTATCATCTGCATGATGGACCTGAGCAGGAGGAACGGGACCGAAAGATGCAGATGGTCCCGACCCCAGAAGGTGAGGCTTTGGCCTGGCGAGATCCGGGTCTGGCACCGAAATTATTGGGCTATGATCATATCAACGATGTAAGGTCCCCGTATCTACAAGTGCTTGTATTAGCCGGATGATGCTAATTGCGAGGTAGGTTGATCGTCACTGGGAGCGGCTACACGACAGTGCAATGAATGAGGATACGTCAACACAATCACGACTATAACTGCGGTTCCGGTTGCTACATATATATCCGTTCAGCAGGCAATTTTATAGCTCGACAAATCACGAATACGCAGAGTAGTTTCATTCGCGCGCAAAGAAGTATATACTTGAATGTTAATATGTTTATTAAAAATCTATTTACAACGAATGGACGCGGATGCGAGTCCATAGAATGTTACACGGGCTTTTGTACAAATAAAAGTCAGATACTTTACATCAAACGAATCATGAAGGCGATGACTGAATGTCACTCCTCGAGTTCTGCGACTTTGGGAAACCGATGTCTGGATACTCGTTCACCTGGTCACCGACATGTGTCGCGCAAACGTCGATGTTGGTTGTCACCGTGATTTCTCCTCCACCTCCCATCCGGAGAAGGTCTTCTTCGGACCCGGTCAAAGTAGCACCGAGATCCTTGCGCGCCTTCGAATCATTCTGCGAAGCGCATAGAGTAGTGCCGCCCTTGGAGTTCTTGTTGGAACTGATCTTGCAGTCGGACATTTTGTGGCCACCACTCACGGAATTGTCGACAGTCGAGCCACCGACGAATTTGGTGAAGAGAGTCTTCAATGCCGGAAGATTGACTGCGATGACGGCAACCTCAATCTCGATAGATGCGGCTATAAGCATACGGCCCAAGACGTACGTTGTGTCCGGATTTTCAACCATCTGGACCTGAAGAGCGAAGCGGCACATCGCCGTGACAACAGACAGGGAACCGAAACCAATGACTCCGAGAACAGCAAGCTTTCGTTTAGGGTTCATTCGAAGCTTCAGTACTGTCGGGATTGGAAGAATAAGGATAACGATATCTGAAAAGGCATTCTAGAATAGCGATCATGGTCAGCAAAATGTTGAGGATCTGTTCAGGAGGAAAACCTACCAGTGCAGTTGGAACCATCATGACGACATACTGGCTGAGACACTGAGCGTTGGGATACAATTCTGGATGGATCATGGCGTCCATCGGTCTGCATTGCATGAACCCCAGCATCCAGTTGACGATGGTAAAGGAGGCGTTGATGCCCATCGTGACATAGACGGCGATCTGAAAGCCTCTCTGAGGCGACAGTCGGAGATAGAACAGGAGAAACGCTTGCTTGATGGTCCAATGAAGGAACATCCAGTAGATCTCCTCTACGAATAGCCACTGTACTCCTTGTCAGACCGCTGCTGTGTTGCTGGGGGCTGAGTTTCGTACCTTGGTCACTTTTTGCAGTTGTCCGTCTGGTAATTCAGCGAGGTGTCTATTTCCAGTCAATATCCCACAATCGCAGAGAGAGAGAGAGAGAGGGTGTGTGTACTACTCACCTTCCAGATCCATTGTACAAGAAAATGTACACAATGGCATGCTGCACTCCATTGACGAACTAACGTAAAGAGATACATTAGTATAAGCTCTGCTCGCAGGATTCGACTGCATATGTGAGATACTTACAAATAGAAGGACAGCCATGCCATCATCCCAGCCGAACGTTTGGAGCCGCCATCGACAGTACAACCGGAGAAAGATCGAGCAGGTGCCCAAGGCAAAAGCAATTGTGGCAACGGCATACGCCAACGGCTGGAGGTTCTCGATGGCCATAATTTGTCAAGGGAAAGAAGGAAGCATGGGACAAATCCGACAACGGTTTCTTGTCTGCAGCAACCTCTCGCGTGGAAAAAGTTCCATGGCGATAATTTAAAATACCCCATTTCAAATCCATGGACACGGATCCGCGGGACTGAGCCATGGAAACCCCTGGAAAAACTATTGAAGACAATGAGAGACAGAGCGAATGTTATTGAGACAGGTCATATAGGCTGTTGAACTGATACATGATCCGGAGTACCTATCAATATTCTAAAATGGAAAGACCGGCCGTGCACCAAGCCAAGATGCATCGGATCTCCGGTCCGATGTGGAACGAACGCATATTCCCGAGAAAGAGTGGAGTTTAACCATTCCTAACTGGCCATCCGACCCAATGTCCCCAACCCCCTCGGACGCAGATGACAGATGCCAACGGCCGAATGAAATGCAGCTTCGGATATTGACAGATCACGCAAGGAATGGCTTCCTTGACTCGAAGGCATGTCTGACGTGAGCCCGACTGCCGGGTCCCTGATTGGCCACGGCGCACACCTGCCAATCCTGCGGCTGGTACGAGTTAAGCGGGGATATGTTTGCTTAAATGATCCGGGGCTTCTCTTGGCTTCTGGTCAGGATCCGTGCCCGCTTTTGACTTTGAGCATATTTCCCAATCCGACATATCATACTTTGGTGACCGTTCGAATACGATGAGCGCCATGCAATTCCGAACAGCTCTAGAGTCCGGTCTAGGTAGTCAAGGGGCCGCAGCTGCGGGTCTTGGGATCCTGCTGCATTTGAGCATCTTTCGTACCAATTTCCCTGCCGAAGATTACATGTATACGCTGTTGGGGTTCCATGTGTTAAGTTTGCTTGCAGCGGCCTACGTCTATTGGGCAATAGCTCAGTTCTCATTATGGCACACTATTATGCGCATCGGGTACCTGTCATCCTCGTTCCATGTCGGCCTGTTGCTTAGTATCAGTGTGTATCGGTTGTTCTTTCATCGCCTGAAACATTTTCCCGGACCCCTGGGATCGAAACTCACCCGGTTCCACGACGCTTACCTTGCGGCGAAAGACGTACAGTACAATGTCGAAATTGGAAAGTTGCACGATCAATACGGCGATTTTGTCCGAACAGGTAAGATAACAATCTGTTCTATCTCTTTGAACATGTCTCATATATCTTGTGTGGTAAGGTCCCCGAGAGATTTCTATAGTGCGGAAATCTGCTGTGTCGTTGATCTTCAGTCCCCAATCCAAGTGTTCCAAGTCGACGTGGTATGCTCAGGTATCGACGGATCCTAAGTCATGTTCCATTCATCACACCCGCGATGTTGATGATCATCGTAAACGACGGAAGGCATGGGATCGAGGATTATCCGTTAAGGGTAAGTGCTCTTCCAGAGTGAGAATGCTAGTAGTGGCTGAACGAAGAATCGCTCCGACATACAGCACTTGGAACCTATGAGTCACGGATCAAGACCAAAGTCGACTTGCTGTCGGCGCAGATCGGGGCCCATTTGGACCAAGCTTTCGATGCGACCGCGTGGTCCATGTTTTTGAGCTTCGATATCATGGGGGAAGTCGGGTTCGGTAAGGAGTTCGGGAATCTGACCACTGGAGTTGAACATCCTGCCATCGGGGGTATCCATGACAGTATGACTGTTGCCGGAGTCATGGGCCACATCCCGTGGTTGTTGAACCTCCTTGGTCAACTACCAGGGGCCACGTCGGGCTATACCGGCTTTTTCAAATGGTGTGCGGACGAAATCGAACGGAAGAAAAAGGTACGCGGGCAACATAAAACAATCAAGAGTGGAATGGCTGATGTGTCCAGGTCTGGGATGCCAGTAAATATCCAGACGATATCGTATCGTGGTTGCTCAAAGCCTACAAAGAAGGAGATATCTCTGCTCCTCCGTCCGAAGAGGCGCTTCACCAAGATTCGCGCGTTCTCGTTGTTGCTGGTAGCGAAACGACGGCGACAACTTTGGCCTCGACCCTCTTCTATCTCGCCAAACACCCGGCTGTTCTGGTCAAGCTCCAGCGGTACTTGTATGAAGCGATGCCGGACGGTCCAGGCGACTGGAGATATGATAGAGTCAAGGAAATTACGTTCATTGATGATATTATCAACGAGACGCTTCGTCTGCGGCCTGCTGTCATGACAGGGGGTTACCGTGTCACGCCTGCCGAAGGAATACAGGTTGACGAAGTCCACATTCCCGGCGATGTCAATGTTTTCGTTCCCACGCAAGTGATCCAGACCCACGAGAAATACTATAAGGACGCCAAGCAGTTCATCCCGGAACGATGGACTGAAAAGAGGGAGGAAAAGGGGACAGACGGAGCCCCTTTCTTTCCTTTTGTGCTCGGTATTATTTAGGCCACGCCCATTTCCAAAAGTTCATCGCAATAGATGCTGACCCTCCTGATATGCAGGTCCGTACAGTTGTCCTGGTAAAAGTCTGGCCATGATGAGTCTTCGTATTTCCTTGTCCATCCTGGCCCAACAGTACGATATAGCATTTGCACCGGGAGAAACGGGAGAAATTTTTGAGAGGCGGGCACGGGATATATTTACCACGGCTCTGCCGCCGCTACACCTCCAATTCCGAAAGCGAGCGTAAAGATGACGGGGACGATTGTTATGTACCAAGAGTCTTTCTTTCTTTTCTTTCCCCCGCATCAGTGCGAGTACGTCTTACCCTGGGCACTCGCGCCATTAAATATATTATGCCCTTCGATTTGAATCCACCGTCGACCAGACATTCCCTACATCTACTGTAGACTTTCTAAGAAATTGAGGTTTCTACAATGGCTACATAATCGATACTCCATATAATGAGTTTATGGAGGATATATATGTAGCTGGCACCGAGAAAACCGACCATGGTCATGAATATCCCTCAGCCCGTGAGGTCATGTCCGAATCTATTGCTCACCAGCGTCGACGATAACGACAGGCGCACGGACATCGCCGGAGTCGGTACCAAGGCTCTCAATTTCCTTGACAACGATAAAGGAGTCCCTGTCGGCAACCTCACCGAAGACAACATGGTTGCCGTCCAACCAGGGGGTATCGACAGTGGTGATGAAGAACTGAGAGCCGTTGCTATGGGATTGTTAGTTGATTCAAAAATATGGATGTGCTTGCTTCCGCTTTGGGGGGAGAACGTACGTGTTGCGACCAGCGTTGGCCATGGACAGGAGGCCGGGCTTGGTGTGCTTGTAGAGGAAGTTCTCGTCGTTGAATTTCTCACCATAGATGGACTTGCCGCCGGTGCCCTGAAGATTCTGTCAGTTTGAGCTCCATCCGGGATCGAGATATGGGACCGTACGTTGTGGTTGGTGAAGTCACCACCCTGGAGCATGAAGTCGGGGATGACACGGTGGAAGCCGGAACCCTTGTAGCCGAAGCCGTGGGCGCCGCTGCAGAGCTCACGGAAGTTCCTTGCGGTCCTAGGAACGTCACGCTCGAAGAGGTTGAAATTGATGCGGCCAACCTTACCTAAAAGGAGCAAAAAGACCGGTTAGCTCAATATCACAAAAGCTGGCAGGGAGTAGCTTACCGGCGTACTGCACCACGAAGAAAGCTCTAGTGTTTCCAGACATGATTGCGGGAGTTTAATGGAAAGAATGGAAGAGAGAATAGAGGAATACTGTGAGTAGAAGAATACTGTGAGTAGAATACTGTGAGCAATGGAGGAAGAGAAGGCGGGGTTATTTTATGACCTCAAGGTCGCTTCGGGAGCTTGGGCCAGCGCGGGGCTCTGCCCTTGGCCTTAAGACTGCGATATGTGGTTGGTTCTCTGCGCTGAAGGCGTGATGGACCGGACTCCACAAGTGCCGTGCTCGCCTGTGCTGCTCGACGGGCAAGCCATGAGCCGGGAGATACGCCAATAGTTGTCTACATAATTGGGAAGAACGGTAGTTCACCAAGATATAAGCCATGAATACAAACTAAATTGTAGCTATGAAAATAATGTAAATTCTGCCTCAGGCATTCAGCGGATATCTAACACGCGCCGCGCCGCAATAAAAAACAACATCAGCGTTCACCATGGACACGCACAATGCCCCCCCGGAGTGTTGAAAAACGCAAATCTGAATCTGCCGCAATTGAAGGTCATGTTTCAAAACAGGCGCGGACCGACATGGCTGGAGATGTCCATGTCCAAAATGGGACGTAGATGCCGGTACAGGCGGATGTTGAGAAAATCTCCCAGAATCTCAAGTACCTGAATCAAGACCAGACTTGCCAACATTGTGCGCGGAGCGATAGTAGCTCATCCCGATATCAGGGTGCTGGTTGGGCTCCACCATCCAAGCCATGCGCGACCGTGAATCTCGACGTGTGTGCTTGATTATTATTCAAAGTTTATCTGGAAGTCAATGAACGTCACTTACGGCCGATTGAGTGGCTACAAGCAAACCGACATGACATCCAACATGCACAATGAGATTCTGTCTGTTGTACAGGCTATTGTTGACCGCCGTGGCCCATTAGCCAGCCCTGATACTCGCTACAATGGCCTCTCAGTGCTACGGAAGATAGGAAAGACGATTGCACTTTCCACCAACACAATTGGACGTAAAATTCGGCAATGCTTTGACGGCGATCCATCCCATGAGGAGGGAATGCTGGGAATTTTGTACAAGATGGACTTGTACGAACTCGAGGATATCAGAAACGATGCTGATTTGGTCAAGGTAATCCTTCTGCCCCTATCCCACTCCTATCCCGGACAAGAGCCATTGATATAAGGTCCTGGGGCGATCTTACTCAGGCGATCTTCCACATTGAACAGTGATGAATTGTCCTCGTTGCCCGGCAAGAGGCGAAAGTTTACCACGAAGATAGCGTCTCCAAGCGCGCGGTACTTCTCTTTCTTCTCGTTGGCGTCAAATGTCCACGTCGACGCTGCACATGGAAAAACCTCGTTAGCATGCTGGTCCTGCAGAAAGGCACATGACTGCCGTACTTATCAGAGTATGACTTCCCCCAAGATTGTGCCTTGCTTCCGGGGTCGCCAGCCAAAAGCTGCGCAATGTTTGTGGTATTAGCAAATAATCCACTAGCGTGCGCTCCGATGGTAACATCATCGTTCGTCATGAACAGGCCACGCGGTGATATGGTGTGGTTCGACCCGTCGCTGTAAGCGCTGAAGAAGTCGTCCATGTAGACGGAAGTCGCATTGATTTGTGTTTCGTACCTAAATAATGAGGAGTTATCAGCAGATTGTTATTCCGCAAGAGCAATATGAGGGGACATCCTACACCTGGGATGAATCTCAAGGTCCCATGGCTCTTGCCATTGTAAGAATGTCGCCGACATCCAAAGGCCCAATCGAAAGCTATGACATTCATCAGTTGGAAAGCCGTATTGCGCAGAACAGGCTGAAGGACTAACGCGGCGCAAGATTTGGAGCTATTTAATGTGTCAGTTTGATCTAGCGTTCACTGATAGGATACCTTGTTAACAGAGAATATAAGGGCCGGCACAAGGGCATTAAAGCCACATTCAACCATGATGGCGATACTCAATGTAGATGGCGCTTCACTTTTTCGTATCCTCTTGTGGCGACTCCGAATGCTTGATTGCACACAAACTATGGAGCAGCTATCACCGCTCAACATCACACAGTCATAATTCGGATAATAGAAGAAATATAGAAAGATCATTGAAAGTTTGATTCCATATGAAAGTAGCCCAAAGTCCAACTATATATGTCACTAACGGAGAAAACGGAGTTTTGAGCCCAACCAAAACCAAACAGATATCATACTCGTACAGCCGCAGCACCTCATCACCGTCGTAAAGAAGGCACAGACCATAGCTCTCGTTGTAGGATAGCTTCTGCTCTTTGGCAACTAATTCCTTTGCAGCTGGCGTAGATAAGCTTTCTCATGTGCGGAGGAGCCGGTGCGCGAGGTTGCGCAACGGGCAACTAGGAGCCTTCCACCGTCTGCGTACTCCTCTGCGTTTCTCCACCTGGGAAACAACGCAAGATACATATGGCGTATAAATGGCAGTTTATTGCGCCGGGCGCGTATAAAGGGGAGATGAAATCCGGTCCAAGAGACTGCAAGCCATACAGCACAGCTTCTAAGTCACAATGCTCCAAACCAGCATTATTGGGATACTCTACGCCCTTTCGCTTTGGTCCGCTACTAATGCAGAGAATATCACGAGTGACAGCTACTTCTATGGCCAGTCGCCTCCGGTCTATCCGTCTCGTGCGTATTACAGTCCTCGCCTTAAGACTTGCTACTGATTACCAGCAGCGGAAGGTACGGGGTCCGGGTCCTGGGCCACAGCTTATAGAAAGGCACGAGATCTTGTTGAGAAACTGAGCCCAGAGGAAAAGGTCAGCCTGACAGCTGGTGTCAAGTTGGATGATGGATGCATGGGGAATATCCCCGCCATTCCCCGCGTGGGGTTTCTTGGGTTGTGTGAATCGGATGCTGAAAATGGATTGGTATGTTGAAAACTCCTATCAGTATTTCTGCTGTTCTAAATAAGAATGTACACGCAGCGAATGACGGACTATGTCAACGGCTGGTCCAGCGGGATACATGTCGGCGCAAGGTAATACTACCCTCTTGATGTCCAGGCAAAGAGATTCCACTATACTGACAATAACAGTTGGAGCAAGGATCTCACTAGACAGCGAGGGATGCATATGGGCCAGGAATTCCGCAATAAAGGTGTCCACGTGCTGCTAGGTCCAGTGGTTGGTCCCATTGGACGGGTTGCAACAGGCGGTCGTAATTGGGAGGGCTTTTCATCTGATCCTTACCTCACCGGAGAACTGGGTGCAGAGACAGTCAAGGGAATTCAATCAGCAGGCGTGTCTGCAAGCACCAAGGCAGGTGTGGATCTCTCGGCCTAAGAAGAAAAGAACTAACAAGCATGGGTAGCACTATATTGGCAACGAGCAAGAACTGCACCGCAACCCTGAAACGGATGCTCAAGGGGAAAATGTTGAGTCGGTCTCATCTAACATTGATGATACAACAATCCATGAGCTCTACCTCTGGCCCTTTCAAGATGCTGTGCGGGCTGGGAACGCATCAGTCATGTGCTCATATCAGCGCATTAATAACTCATATGGCTGCCAGAACAGCAAGACACTCAATAGCCTTCTCAAAGGGGAGCTTGGCTTTCAAGGATACGTGATAACAGATTGGTATGCCCAACATGCTGGCATTGTAGCAGCTAATGCTGGCTTGGATATGGTGATGCCAATTACCACTCTCTGGGGCCTGAACCTTACAGATGCCATCGCCAATGGGACCATGGATGCCTCCCGGTTAGATGATATGGTGACAAGGTGAGCTTTCTTCGCAATGTGTATCATGACACAGCTTACTGTTCAGAATCATCGCATCGTGGTATCAACTTGGCCAAGATACTTCCTTCCCTCCAACAGGTATCGGAATGCCTCATGATGTAAATGCGAACCATCAGCGCATCATCGCCAAGTATCCGGCGGAACGAGAGACGCTCTTGCAAAGCGCTATTGAGGGCCATGTCTTGGTCAAGAACGTTGAAGGGGCGCTACCGCTGCAAACACCGCAGCTGCTGTCAGTGTTCGGTTATGATGCAAGAGGTCTTCAGTTTAGAGTGGCACAGCGAAGCCGCAAAATCCGCGCCAATCCGCGCCGAATCCGCAATGGCGCGGATTCGGATCCAGTGGGCCAGAATCCGAAGCGGC